GGTCTCATGGGGCACCTGAACTCTGCACTGGTGTTTCGATCTGAATGCAACCCAGGACACATGCATTAAATTGGGTGATTCTTGGTTCCTGACAGACATTCCCTACCCTGCTCTGGCTCAGACAGCTGGGCTGGCTACAGAGCACAGCTGGCTGGTAGTGTGCCCAGCTCCCCCTCTTGCCCCTGCTGCACCCAGGGACAGGTCTGGGGCCCCTTGCGGCCCTCAGGCTCTGGCCCCTAAATGACGGTGCCTCAGGTCTTCCTGTGAGGGCTCAGGATTACCAATATAAACACATTTTTCCTGTAAAAGCAAACACCTATAACTTCTGGCGGACTTTCAATGAAGTAATGACAACCTGCCAGGATAAACTCAGCTGACTCAGTTGTGGGTTACACACTGGACAGAGTTTTTGCAGGTCCACTACTGAGGCACACACATCAGTAGGAGCAACTTACCTGCCTTGCTTCTTTCTCCTGTTGCAGTGCGAGGCTGAGGGCAACTCAGCTGCTTCATGTTTGTGCCCTGTCAGAGTGTGCCCATGGGCACAGGGCTATTTAAACCAGGAGCAACCTCCTCTCAGCTCCCCCAGGATGCTGAATCTTGGTAAGTTGCTCTGTTTGAGCAAAGCAATATAAAGGAAAACCTGCAAGGCAAGATTTGTGTGAGGTACAAAGGCCTTTAAGCATTTACAAAAGACCTCAATCTGCATGGTAGGAGGTGCCCTGGCTGGAGGAGGGGAGGTGTGGAAGGAGTCCCTCGGGGCTGCAAGAGGGGAGAGCTGGCTGTTGTCCACAGCAAACTCCTCATTGTTGTGTTGGGAGCACTTGGTCAAGGGTTGAGGGAACAGCTCTCTCCCGCGCTGCTGAAGGCAGGGAGAACTCGCAGAGGAGGGGAACAAACCTACCAAGGCTGTGGTGTCCTGGTGTTAGAGGATGTTCCAGCTGTCCGGAGTGGCTATTCTGGCCCTTTGCACCCTATGGCAGTGTTGTGGGGCTGTTGGTAGTCTTCATCCCACGTGTTTCAGGCCTGTGGCTGCTGCTCTGTATAGGAAGTAGTGCTTTCTGGTCTCCCTTCCTGGCAGCTTGCACTGGTGTTAAGGCTGCTTGATTGGCTCCTGTGTCTGTAGTGTTGTGTTCTCCATTTGGTGGCTTAACCATCAGTGCTGCAGAGCTGGTAGGAAAAAGAACAGGTACAAAGAAGAATGATGGCCATAGGTGACAACAAAAGATGGAATTTCAGAAACCCAGCCCTCAAAGCAGCTCCTGATGCAAGCCCTGGGTAAATGTGACTCTATTAGCCACACACACATACAATTCATTCTCATATAACACAGCGTGCTCTTCAAATACCCAGATTATATTTAGGAAAATAAAGACATTTCAATGAAAGAGAAAGCAGTTTGGTTGCTAATGGGGATGACATTTAATCATGCATATTTGTAAAATCATCTCAGCACACTACTTTTAAAGTTTAATTTGAATATGCATAAAGGCTTGTTAGCTTCTATGAAGTATAGCACCATGGTTTTGTAAAATTATCTGCTCTATATCTTCTCTTTAAGGGAAACTATAACACATAACATCTGAAAAGGCGCAACACTCTTACTATCCATATGAGTGTCCTGAGACTGCAGAGAAAGATCTGTTCTCATTGGTTCTGTAACAAAAAATGCACACATAAGGAGCCAGCATAGTGAAGAAAACTCATTTTGAAATAATTCTTTTGTACTGCTGAAATTCCCCTTTTTAAAAAGCCACCTATTTATGCTGAAAAGTAGCAAAACAAAAACAACTGTTGTTCTGTTTGTAATTACAGTCCCTGATGCATTGGCAAAAGGAAATCCAGCCTGTGTTGCATTACTGCATAATCACAATAAAACCCTCATCTGGTATCCTCTCCTACCCCTCAAATCTGTTAAAAATCATAGTTACTGACAGATATTACGATAGAGTGCACAGGACTTTTCAGTGTGAAAATACCATTGTTGTGGTTTAGCCATAAAGAAATGATATATATACCCAAGATAACAGCATTTTATAATGGCATTTATACTATGCACCATTTGGAAGTTAATTTGCTATTAACAGAAAATTACCTTCTTTAGTGCTTTTTCAACTCCCATCTTAAAACTCCAAAATGAAATGGGAAAGGTCCGTTAGAGTGACAATTAAATTTTACTCTCCTGTTTTTCCTAAGCTTAGTTCTTTAATATTGCTCATAGTTCTTGCTTTAAAACTGGAAAAGTCTGTTTATTTTGGTCAATAAGAACTTTATGTACTTCTTGGCAACAGAAGGAATTTGACTAACTTGTGGAAAGCTGGGTGTTACACATCCCACTGTGCTTCAAACACACAGCAACAGCAGACCCATAAAGGGTCCAAACTGTAGCCCTGACTTTTAGCAACAAAAATTGTAATGTATGGTCTTTATTTGCAGCCACACCAAAAAAATCCCACTGGCAGGCCACACAATTTACTTCCTCCTTTCAAAAATGTTTAGATGTGTAACATATGTCCAATGAGCAGATGGTGCACTTGTTTTAAGGGAAAAAATGCTGAGTACAACCAAAGCATCAGGCCCAAACGGTGCTCAAGTGTAAACACTTGTTTCTATGTCAATTAAGTTACTGATGCACTAACATGCTAAAATAAAAATGCTGGCTGGTGTAATGGCAGATGTGGATTAACCTTTCCATGACCCAGAGTCTCCAGGGACTGGGCAAAATTCAGGAAGAGGAACTGAAGTTGTATACTTTTCTCCTCGAGGTACCACAGTTGGCAGTCAGTCTGTGCTCTGGGATGGAGGATGCTTTCTCAACTCCATTGCTCTGGGACCTGGGAAAGCACTTCATTTCTCTGCTGCCATTTCTCTGTGCATCATCTTCAGTAATGTTTGTGAAGCAGATGACCTTGTGGGTCATCTTACACAATAGGATGTTACTCCCAGCAAGCCATTAGTGGAGATAAAAATAACACTGCCCCTTGACCAGCAGTTGCAGATTCTGGAAATCTGGAATTCAGACTTCATGTGGTACTTAAAATGAATACATCTCATGCTTTAATTACAAGTGTCAACTTGGCTGGAAGTAATTTAACTTTGCACATATTTTATGAGAAGTTATGTTGGAAGCCTTTATACACTGCTTTGGAGTTAATTTGGGCCTCAAAGTGCTAATGAACTACCTCTTGATTAAAACAAAAACAGCAGAGGCACGTTCCCTTACTGTGTAAGCCTGAAGCAGCCTGATAAAAGCTAGGTATAACCAAGTTCCATGATAAACTAAGTTTTCAACTGCAAAAAGAAAGTAATCAGCATTCTTTTTAAACACATCAAAGATATTTATTATCTCCAAAGTTTTCTTATTGTTACCTGCTTTAATTCCGATCACAGCCTCTGTGCTATGTGATTTTTTACCTAGTGATTAATGAGCTGTACCTTAGCTCTGATAGCTGCTTCCATGGAAATAAAACCAGTGTAAGCAGTTTAGTGGTTTATTTAACTTTATTCTTTCAATAACAGTACTCCTAAATAATCTTTCTGTGTATTTCAGATGAAATGGGTTATTCACCTGCACTAAGGCCATTGTGCTTACTCAAAAAAGACTTACCAGTGATCAGACAACTTGGGTATGATGAAACAAACATGAGAAATGGGGCCTTAAAAAATTATTTACATCATTCATAAGAATAAAATATACCATTTTTAATAAAAAGTATATATATTTTTTGTATTGAATTAGGATTTTACTACCAAGTACTACTTTACATTTCAGATTCACACCTAAAAAGGCTCAAAGTATAAACATCTATAAAACTAGTAAATCTCAAAACATGGGAACTTCTAAATAATTCTCCCTACTTATTACTGTAGGTAGAAAAAGACAATAACCAACACTTTTTCTAGTCCATTAAGTTAAAAGTCATTTGGCAAAGCACTTAGGCATATAAGCTTAACCAGAAGACATCAGGAACCAGGCTTTGCAATGTTTCAAACACTTCTCACACCAGGGTAAGCTAAAGAATGAAAGTTATTCTCATTACACAGTAACTAGCATCATAAGTACTTTTTCTGCAAGTTATCTCAGGAAAGCTACTTGTTCACAATTGTGCCCAAAGTACCAAACAAACAACAAAAGTGCTTTACTTCTTTGATCAACAAACTACCACAATGGCTCCTTTAACTTGCCCCTTTCAGGCTGTTGTTTTAACAGGCTCAAAATAGTATCTATAAAAAGTTCTCTATTTCTCAACACAAATGATAAACATTCGCTTATCAAAATAGTGCAAACAGGAACAAAGAAAAGTGCCATCAACATAAGTAAACTGCAGGAAAAAAGGCAGTTGGACATCGTGACCTCGCACCGCTGCTTCAGAGAAATCAGTAGTACTCTTCTCAGCACATCAGTCCAAACATATTCCTATTTACCATCTCATGACACCACCACATGCAGAACGCATTTGGTCTTTTGCATATCCTCCTTCATAAAAGTAAATGCACCTGCTCTTTGTATTGTGCATTAAAAAAAGTCAGAAGACTTTTTCAAAACATTAATTGATCAAATCATTTAGTAATTAATATATACAACTCTGTCTTCCCTTTTTTCCTTTATAGCTTTCTTTGGAGTGCATAGGAAAGGCTACAGTGACACATCACATACAAAAATCAAGTTTAAAAGTTTTATGTAGAATACTCAAGTATTTTTAGCATTTATGTACACAAGTTTTTTTACCATATATTCTTTCTCACTCTTTCCTTAGACTTATCTTTTATCTTCTTGGACAGATGACGTATTTCACCTATAAAGTTACAGGCTGGTAACTATAAAGTTAGGCATTTCATTCTAGTATAAATAAGAGTATTGGGGGAAGTAAATTTTAAGTGGATTCATTAAACTGATGTTGCATGAAGTGCTGTTGGCATTAATTTATTCCATTAAAAGCGCTTTCCAGTAAAAAGAGAAAATGCTATAAATTAAAAAATACAACAGAACTCTAGAAACCTATAATTATTACTGACTTTTTATCAGAAAATTGCACTTGCATATAAAAGAACAAATTTTAGCCCCCATTCATAACCTTATTACTTTTCCAAAAAGAAGTAATAGAACATCAAGCAGCTAATTTCTTATGGCTTCACACAGTGAAGTTCTTTCTTAAATTAACCAGAAGGAAGTTTCTCAATAGCCATCTTTTGTGAACATATCATCGGTTTCATCATCGTTCATGCCTCGTTGATAGCGTACTGAAGAGAAGGCACTCCAGTGAAGACGCTTCTTTTTGTAGAGATAGAACACCAGCCCACCAGCAAAGACTAAGATAACTAGCAGGGCAAATGCTACAGCCACACCAGTATGATTAGAACCTGAAACAGAAAAAAAGACAAACAGTAAGTCTGTAAGAGTTTTGGCAAGTATATTTTGTCATGGGGTTCATACATAGGTAGCTCTACACTCTTCCTGCATGCATTTAGTTGAAGTCAAGGCAAACTCCTTCATCATATTAAGTCTTCACTTCAACACGTGGGAAGTTAGATGCTGATTCATATGGGAATGTATTAACTTAGTTTTTCATAATTTTGTCGTTAATTTACTAATACTTAGGTTGGAAGGGACCTCCAGAGGTCAAAAAACCTATTTGTAAATGCTGCAGTCATTTAGAGGTTTGTATACCTCATAAATCTAATGAGGTCCTGGAGTCTTGGATGGAAGCACTTGGAATAGAAGACAATTATACTTCTTTCAGGCTGAAAAGATCTTACTGAGGTCTTCCTTAGCAGCATGAAGTCAAAACTATTCCTTCATCTCCACCTCAGTGAAAATATATACAAAATCAGAAAGATCCCACTGCTTCTCAGAAACGTGCTTGCTTAATGCTCAGGTAATTGCTCTCTTTCCTGTACAAAGCAGAGCATGAGGAAGTAACATGCGGCCTGAGCCTTTTTCTGGAGGTCCTTTCCAGAAGACTCCTCAAGACTGAAAACACAATCTGCAGTACCTGCTTACTCAGCATCTCTTACAAGCAGAACTCTGATTCCACCTACACAGACTCACCCATGACAGATACCCTGTGGTAAGAAGCAATAGCAACTACTCTATGCTTACTTCTAAGTGGACATTTTAGTTCTCTCCCTTATCCACTGAGTGGACAGTGGGAGCCAGGAGAAGTAAATTCCTAGACAATTTGTCTCTGAATGCAATTTTATGCCTAAAGAACAACTGAAGACTCTTGCTTAAGCAGAGGTACTTGATGGGTTCTTTTGTGCATTGCACTTCAGTTATTTCAACAGACTTTACCCAACAAACCAGAAAACCCTGAAAACAGCCTCTACAAAATTAAGTCTCCACTAAAGGCAATGCCTCCATACCTAAAGGAGCTTTGCAAACCACTCTGCTTTGACTACGACTGCAGTCAACTTTGGACCATGTGCCAGTTCTGGATGTGATAACACTGCATTTTTCATTGGCTTCTGCAGTTTTGTTCTCCCAGTTGACATAATTAACTGATGAGCCATCCAGCCAGTTCAGGGACTGACCTGTTGGGAAAAATAACTGCTTAGTTTAGATCACCAAAACATGCTGTAATGCTACACAGTGTCATTAACAATCTGTTGACTTCTTTACATTGCTAAAAGGAACAGGGCTGATTATTCATCTCATATATTAAAAGCAGTAAATATGAACATGTAACTTTTAGCCACACCTCTTCTCTAGGCCTTTATCAGTTGATGCATTTGCAGCTTAACCATTAGGCACCAACAGCAGCATTGGGAAAAATGATTTTCAGTGACTCCTGATTACCCTAGGTGTGCAATATGAAGAGATTTTACTGCAATCAAATCCAAAGGGCTTTATAAGGGATTCCAACCTCAAGCAGAAGGTACTGTACGCTACCAACACAATGAAACTATTCTTAGTTGAGGATTTATACATTTTCATTTACCACATGAAACACTAATGGTCACACGTGGTTGCTACTTCTTACCCTTAGAGTTCTGAGCCAGGCCGAGCCATACATTCTTGGTGATGAGATCATGTTCCCTTACGTGTTTGCTCACAAATGCATTTTCCTCAGCACTCACTATAGTCAGAAGGGTTGCTGAAGGATCTAAGTGGCAGAGGAAACCAGTCAGAATTGGAATTTACAAGATTTTTCATAATGCTTGTACACTGAGTTTTCTGTGGGAACAATTGCTGTGCGAAAAGATTTGCTGATCTGGGCTTGTAAAATAAGCTTGAAGTAACCTTCAGAATGAAGATATGAACCTCCCATCCTCTAAAATACAGCATGTTATACAAAATGGCTTCAGATGACTGATTATTCTAGTAGGTTATAAAAAATAAAATGGGAGTAACCTTACTGCAGCTGCAGAATAGATACATGGAAAATATCAGAATATATGCCCACTGAAAATTACTAGCCTTGTCCAAGTAATAAGCCCTTTTCAAAAGTATAGTTGAACAAAAGCTCAGCATTTTGCCGAGTCAAATTAATTTCTAAATTAATCCTCTCGTTGTGCCTCAGGTTCTTATATACAGTGTTACAGTAATTATGGAATAAGAGGGAGGAAAGGATGTACTATAGACATGCTCAGAGAGTATGCATCTTTTTAACAAGCCAGAAGCTTAATTTAGAGAAAGTTCACTTTCAACTATCAGACCAAGTTGGATTCAACAGAAAACTGTATCTGGGACTGGTTCTTTTTCATCCTAAATAGTGAGTTCAACTTCACACTATAATTTCATAAAAAAAAGTTATGACAGTCACTAACTTTTCAGTTAAGGTGATTAAAACTTCTGTAAATGAAACTGCTTAACAGTATCTCTGCAATATAATTGTCCATACAGCTCATCAAAGAAGAGATAAAATCCTTCAATTTGACGAAAAATTAAGTTTTTTAGTGAGATTATGTGCCTTAATATATATAAAGTACATGCTTTGAACCATTTGAAAAGTTAGCAGGTTCCCTACTAGCAAGCAGCTACTGCAAGGATTCAAGAAAGCACTGCCAAGAGCACTAACATTGTACACAGATAAAGTGTTTTCCTCCAAAATGCAAGCCTTAAATTTCTGGATCTTCTACAACTCGCTACCTGAATTTTATTTGCAGATACCTGTGTGCCAAAGAATGTGTCAGCACAATGCAGCATTTTATTACGAATTTTCATCAGACATTCAAAGATAGAGCTTGCTATTGCTTTTCCTAAACTAAAGAAGAATAAAACAGGCAAAGTTGAAGTATAATCAGTATAGGATTTTTGGTTGTTGGGTTTTATTTCTTCTCAAATAGTGGACTAATTACAAGTTGTAATGTGATAAAGAATCTAAACATACTCAGTTTCTGGCAGACTTTCTTAGCCTCTTCCATATTATAGACTGAAAAATTGTAGAATGCCATGTCAAACGCGTAACAGTGATCCTTGTACTGTACCCACTGTAGGGCACCACTGCTCTGCGGGCATCCTGAGGCTCTGCTCGCTTGCTCTGCCTGGAACTGCCTCTCTGCAAAGACAAAGAAACTTGATGTTATTTCTGCTGCAGCCGTTTGCGCAGTCTCTCTGGAGTAACAGGACAGTAAGTATTAACAAGGACTGCTACTCCTACCAAAAACCATTATTCAATTAGCTTACATTCCTTCTTCACATGTCACAGATGAATTTGTTTGAAAATGAGCATAAGACAAATCCCAAAGGCTTTGGAACTATTTTCCTTGCTTTTTAGTGGGTTTTGAAGGTTGTTGTACATATTTGATAAGTACTCCGATTCATAAAAGATACACACATTTCATATTCATATCATAGGTGATCAAAAACTAGCCAGGTTTGTTTTAGGCTTTCACCACTGGAATGGAGAGAATTCATCTCCCTGAAGTACTAAAAAGTGTTTCATCATCCCTGACAGAAAACTCTTCTTAAAGAGGGAATCATGTGTAGTATTTCAATCTTCATTTCTACTTCTGAATACAACATATAAAGACAAAAGACAACTACACAAAATAACACTTACTGTTTGGAGGGCTATAACAAATGGCACCTTCAGCAACATTTGTACATTTTGTACGGTTCCAAGATCCTTTAGTATCCAACAGAACACAGTTCTCAGTAGTATTTGAGTTTTCTAATTCCCAAGGATAGTAGTCAAAGTCACTTCCATCTGACCATTCAAAATTAGCTTTACTTCCCTAATTAAAGAAAAAACCAATAACTTTTAAACCACATATGGTTGTAGTTTAAATCTTATCAGTTATGAGTTAAGTCCTGTAGCAATATTTGTTCCTTGTACAGGGGTAAATTAAAGTGAGGGGGTCTCATCTAAATCTATAGTAAAGAAATTTACAACATGGTTTGCATTTTCCAAGCAATTCTTAACACAGAAATCCTGATTATTTGTGGGAAATGAGAAAGTACAGCACGTTTGCAAGTTTAAACCTGCAATGTGCCTGTTTTATTCTACGGGGAACATCTCACTTAATTCCATCCTGCTGTTTCACTGGAGCAGTCTGCCTTCCCTGCTGTGAACGTTACTGGATATGTTGCAAACTGCTAAACTGTCGAGATGGCCTCAGTGAATAAAGCTGGGCAGCTGAGGAATGGTTTGCAGTGCTGGCTCCTACTTCAGATACGTTCCTGGAAACCTGTGACAGTGAGGAGCCAGTTGTGGAGGGAGCCGTTCAGGTCACAGGACACCAGAGGTAGAACAGGTGTGTGCAGAAATCACACACCTCTGCAGAGGGGTATTCCTGCCAACTAACTATGGCCAGGTCTGGTAATTAGTGAGGAGAGCAGGGTCAGTGCCATAGGCTTTTGGCTCCACAGGAAAGCAGTCAGAGGAAGAAGAAGATTTGTAGCTGCCTCTTGTTATGCCTCCTGGGAGAGGGGACACATAACCAGCTTGAGAGTCAGTTCCTGAACTGCTTTGGAGAGCCAGTCCTGACCTGGACTAAGCAAGTTCTACACAGTCTTGCCTCTCTGTATTTGCTGATGGAATCTGATTCTACAGAGGGCCGTAAAGTCTGAAGCCTCAAAAGGCAGCACTGCAAATCACACATCCCTGTGCTGCAAGGAATGATGTGGGACCACTGTATTATTTTAAAGTGTCAAGGATTTGGAAGAAATATCTCATTAACATTTAATATTAACATATGTTACACAGGATTGAAAAAGGAGGTAATACACTGGATGAGAGAATCTAAGAAACTGCAAAGAAACATCAGAAAATATTTCATATCTTCTCCAAAATATTATTTACAAGCTCTGTTACAGATGTCACCAACAATATTTACTTACATCGTGAATTGACAACCCAAGCCACAGAGGATAACCGTCCTGTTTGACAATATCTTCTAGAAATAACTGTTGTGATTCACTGTGTACACTTGCTAAATCACTCTTATTTTGTTTGCATGCTCTCAATGCCTCATACCAGGTTAATTTTTTCTGAAGGATCCTGTATGTTCTGTTTCCATGTGGAATAGACTCGGGCAACGGAGGCTTGTGCTGTTGGGGCCCTGTTTCAAAGAATAAGAAGACAAGAAGTTCTGTGCATTTGTTCATGTTATTAGGAAGATACAGAAAGCATTAAAATTCATCTATATCAATGTAACTCAAGCATTAAAGTGTTCAGTACAAGCTAATATCAAGTAAGTTTTGCTACTCTGAACACCGAGTAGCCGCCAGATGAGCACAGCAAACACATTCCTCCTGAGCAGAGTATTACAGCAGTGATGCACAGAATGACCACATGACCCCCAGATGCCCATGACAGCTGCGTCACGTGTTTCACTAGGAGCAAAGCCAAAGCCTTTTATAGCAGCAACCAGGATTTAAATTATGACCCTCATCCAACACTCCAATACTACTTACCCCTTTCGATTTTACAGGCAAGAATACTGTACATGTTATAGTGATTGGCGTGCCAACTTTGAGAATAATTATAAATGTCCCAAAACCCATCAAGGTTTACACCAGCAAAAAAACTGTTCTTCTTTATGATAGGTCTTCCCAGCCTCCAGTTATTGTAAGTCAGATGAGTTTCATCATACCACTTGAGAACTTTATCTGTGGAAAACATTGTGTATTTATTAAAACACTGGCACTGTGTCTACAAATACCACTTAACTTTGAATATATCAATTACATTAACAGATATTTACTTTAAAAAAAAATGCAGTGATACTGGAAGTTACTCTAAATCAGCTAAATATGTTAGCATTACTCATCCTGGTCATTTTAAGTCCTGCTTTCCAGGGAAATCAAATCTAGACTAAACAGAACATATTGGATCTAATTATCACTGAAACAGAGAGCATGCCCAGTTATTTCTTTCTAGAAGATAATTACAAATATAAAGCATTATAGGTTTGCATTCAGTTTGACTTTTGTTATAAACTGAAACATGCAAAAAACCATGCACTTAATGTTGCAAACTTTCTCTATAATCTATTAAGAAAAAAAAATCCCTTAAATCTTACCACTGTCATCATAAATCACACCCAGCCAGACCCACAGAGCCAGACCACTGAATGAATGAAGCTGCTCAGTAACAAAGTTATTCTCTTCTTCATCTCGAACACTCAGAACAAATGCTTCTGGGTCTGTTGAAAATTTTTTTACATTACTTTCTTACAAATCCATGTGTCAGTTTCAAAGTAACTATTATTTTCTATTACTGTTAATAATTATTACAGATAAGTCAACAGTGTGCAAAGGTCAGATCTTTATAACGTAAGTTATAAAAAAAATATTTCAAACATATTATCAACAGTGCTTCCCCTCATTTTGTGGATAAGTGAAAGATATCAGCTCCAGAGATATTTGTGGGTCCTACTGTCAATTCCAACTCAGCATATTCGGTGACTCTGTAGTAAAAATTTTCTGTATAGAACATAAAAATATCAGCAATCTTTCATGATTTGCATGAACTTCCCTAGTAGAGAAACAGTATTAACACTGAACTGAAATCAATTCACAAAAGATAAAAATAATTTTTGGAAAGATGCAAATCTGAAGATTTAATATAAGAGGGATGCCGTTCCTAAGCTTACACTTAATTCAGGATGAACAGAAAAAGTTTATGTGCTTTTCTGAATTGGACTATTCTCAGTCTATTTACTTTGTTCACCTAAGTGTTCCACAAAGCGGAGGGAAACCATGAACTAAATGTGACTGTAAAGCCAGAATGTTGCCAAGGGGATAACAATTATGCAACCGATTTGAAATTGGCATATTATAGAGAAAAAACCCAACCCAACCAAACACAAAAACAAACCTTCCAATTTTTCAGAGATCTCAAGAGTTCAGTAGTTCCTAGCCATCTCTCTTTCTCTCCAACTCTCCTACCACATGCTCTGGTAACTTTGTATCAGAGTTGTGCAAGAGCAAACAGCATCAGGGAGTCCAACACACGCGTATTTCCAAATGCTACAACCTTTCTCAACTCTCACTTTGCTGTCATTGTAAGACAGTGACTCAAATCTAAAACTCATCTCCCTCAAGCTAAGTCCATAAATACCTGCAATATGACAAAGTACTTACTCATTTTCCTGCATAAATGATGAGCTTCTTGAGACTTCAGTTCTCTCCATCTATTTTTTGTTATCATAAAAGTGTAACAATTGTTTCTAAATGATATCCAGGGTGTATTTTTAATCTTATGTGGGCACTTCACTTGGGAAACTTGTTCTTTTTCAGTCTCCTCTAAAGAAAGAAAGAAAAGATGACATTCAGGACATGACTTACCACCACCTAATTTGACACAAATCACTTTCAGGTACTATTTAAAAACACGTAAGACAAATTAAGTGCCATCCTCTAAATGTGTGACGCATTGTTGCTTTCATTTTCCTCATGATGATGTTTTAAAGCAGCAAAACAAGCAGTAAGCTCTACTAAAGAACACTGTTGCTTACAAATTTTCAAAATTATTATGTTAAATAGGTTTAAGAATAAAAGCCGCACATAAAAGTGCTAAGTGTGGGTCAGTAACTAAAAGCTCTTACTGCCACTTTTGCAAGGAGGATCACCATCACAAATAAGCTACTTCATAGCTAGCAACACATCTTAGTTCTGTGGCTTTATCTAACACTTGAGGGGTGAGAAGGACTCTTCCTGCAGTTGCCTAGATTGCAAGCAAAAGATAGCTAACGATATCATAATGCCACACTTTACTCTGCCTTGGGATGTACAATGGCTTAGCTCTGTCCCCTCACAAAAAAAAAAAAACCAAAACAAAAAAAAAAAAAAAAAAAAAAAAAAAAAAAAAAAACCACACCCAACCAAAAAAACCCCTAATTATAATGGTCTCATAAGGAAGATATCTCTGATGATCTCAGAATGATTGTTTTCTGAAGGATACATAACTAGCAAGCACTTTCCTGAAAATAAAAAAACATGCCCTACTATATCCCTGTCTTTTTTGTTATAATTAGATATTTAGAGGGGTTTTGTGAACTGCAGATGACTTTAATTTACACCTTTCAATTCAGTGTCTATCTTCTACCTTTCTTGTCCATATAGTCATGCACCTCTTCCCTGTATAGACTTTCATGTCTGAAGAGATTTCAGGAGGTCCCAATATTAAGATGTAAATAGGACAGAGGTAGCTGAATCTTCTTCCCCTTGCAAGTGGGAGAGAGTAGTATGCAACAATTTTAGAGAAGCAGTGCAAAGGTACAATCATAAGGGCAGTTTGACCCAATGCATCCATGCTGAATTTATTTTTAAGGAACAAGTGGATTAAGACCAAGAGGTGCATGCCCCCCCATTTGAAGCTGGTTTCTTTTTTTGACTGCAAATCAGCCTGTCTGATGAACTGTAATTTTAAAAAAGTTGTAATTTTGAAGTCACAAGCTGGAATCATCAAATATGTTTCACAATAAAACAGAATTCAGCTTTTATAAATATTTTGCTAGGAATACATACTTTCTGATGCGTAGCAAATAGCACCTCGATTTTCAGAGGAACAGTCAGAACTTTTCCAGAAGCCATCAGTATCCAAAAACACACATTCTTCATTTGTTTCTTCATCATCTTCAGACCAGCGACTAAAACTAACATGTTTGCCATCCAGCCAGCCATAATGCTTTCCACCCTAGCAGTGTTTAAGTAAAAGGGATAAGCTTTCATACTAAAAAATATGAGGTACAGAAAATGACATGACAATATATTTACACTGGCTAAACATTTACAGCGTCTCTGGTGAGAACTGTAAGTGTTCCACTGCCCTCATGGTCTGATCTGCTGCTCACAATGTAACAAGTTTCATTATTTTAAGTTTTGCAGTTGCAAATAGCGAATTAGTTGAAGTGGATGGTAAATCATCCAATGGTGATGTTTAACTACTGTGTTTATGGAAGAAGGCTTGACAGTGAGATGTCCAAATTGCATCACTTGTATCTACAAATCAACGGTGGATATAATTATCTGGTCTTGGAAAACTGGTAATAACTGAGAATAAGGTCCTCTCTTAGTTACTCCATACCAAGATGAAAGTAATCTATTAAATACTTAATTTATTTAATGCATCAGATGCTGCGTTCCTGCCCTGCCTCGAGGATGCAAGAGGAATAAGAAAAAGCCACATACAAGCAGCATCCTTACATTTGAAAGTCATCTTCTGGAAATCCCCCTGCTGCTTTGTTATTTAACTTACCTTGTATCTTTCTTTTGTGTCTATGATTCCAGCACTTGAGTAACAAGTTCTGTTGACCAGTTTCATTATAATTTCCTTTCATGTGATATTTAATTGTGCCCAAATAATGAAGTGTTGCAATAGTGAAAATCCAGTGCATGCCTGTACTGTATGCCCCAAAGTGAATCATTTGATCTACACTTACAGATAAAAAAATCAAAAAACAAGGGAAAATGGGTTGTCTGGTTTCCCCTTCTTCACAAAGATTAAATGTGTTTCTTTTAAAAATGTAAAAATACTCTCAATAAAGTATATACTCAAATTTCTATGTTTTCCCCCTACCTTGCTAGAGTACTCAGTAGTCCATTACAGATAATGGAAAAAAATAACATCACAGATGCTGAGTGAGCACCACCACTCTCTGTATGTAAGGCAATTCTAAAGAAATTGTAACTTTTTTCTTGCAATTATCTGCAGGCTCATATGCTTGACAAAAAGACAAACCCTGCAACCAAGCCCAAGGCATTTCATTAACAGTTGAGACAGCTCTTAATCCACAATAAAGATTTTCAAGAGGTCCTCCAGCTAATAAGAGCAAAAAACAGCACCTCCTGTATTCTTTCAAATTCTTTTGGACAGAGCAAACAGAAGGAAGAAGAAAAAACCAATGACCCACCTCAGGGATGTCTCCCTCAAACTCAAAATACAGGCACAAATAACATGAAGTAACAACAGAATCTACGTTAAGCTTTAGAAATGTATCTCCAGACGAGTTCAATGATTCACTTTGGATTTTATCTGCCACTTCTACTTTCTCCCTTTCAAAACAGATTTTGGGTCATCTTTCTAAAGAGGTACTGTAAACAGTGGCAATGGTATCAAACAGTAACATTAATTACTTGTTCGTTTACAGAAAAGACAAGGATGATTCAGCAACCTATGTCGCCGCCACCCTACAACATACCCCTATATCAATAGTCCTTTAAAAGAATTTTATCATCATCATCATCAATTTGTCCAGTGGAATTCTAGAACTATGTAACTTGAAGAACTGAGGGTTTAAAATATTAATCTTGAGACACTCCAGATGGTTATCCCTAAATGAAAACAGTTACCCAAGAAACTAACTTTTCATTGCATTTCTTTAACTCAGGTTCTGTTTCACACAACTCTAAAAATTACCTTAAGCCATAGTCTGAGGGAAAACTAGAACTTACATCTCTGCTGAAGAGTCCAATCCAGAGTGGGTAATTATGAAGGGCCGCCTGAACAGCAAGAAAAGCCTGCTGGAACTGATCTGTGATGCTAACCAGCTGCATCTTGTTATTTATGCATGCAGCCATTGCATCATTCCAGGACAAATTCTTCAGAATTACCATGTATTGAACATTTTGATAGCTCAATGTTCCATTAATGACTTCCTCTGTCTGGTTATCAGAAGTTCCTATATATAGAAAAGAAATCCAGTACTTAGGTAGTTAAACACTGTAATACATATTTAACTCCCAATGCCTCTGTAACAATCAGAAAAATCTTTTTGAATAACATCTGGAAAAAAAGTCTTTAACAGTAGATTATGCTATAATTATAGTTAGAAGCAAATATCTTTGACACCTTAGACAGAAAATTACATATTTAAAAATAAGTATTATTTTCATTTGGTGTAGTTTAAAGTATCTTTTTTCTCAACTTAGGTTCACATCTATTTATATCTGGTATTTTTAACTAACTGCTAAATAACATAGTGAATTAAAAACATATTATATAACTTTAATTATACACAAATGGGAGAGAGTGACTGCTCTCTGCTGCAAGATAGCAACAGCTAAACTTGACTCATCTATCTCTGTGAAGCCTGTGGCTTATGCAAATCTAATGAGCCCCAAAACTTGTCTATGCATATCTTGGTACCGCATAGTCCCAGAATTCCTTACTGCCATCCATGAGTACAGTGAAAACTGATTTTGCCTCCACATGTGCTTAACTAATTGCAGAAAATCCACCTTGCATAGGGAGCGACATAATTCACTATTTGTGCTCCAAGCACTGAGTGTTATCACAGTTATCAGCATCGTACCTGACGGCATATAGCTCAGCAAAGCATGACAACTACAGCGAATAAAAGACATAAATATTCCTGTGGATGGTAAGTTAAAGCATATAAATGGTAACCCCAAAAATTTTATGCACAACCAAAAATAAATTTGCTCTCCAAAAGGTAGAAACCCAAAATATTTAAAATATCTCAAGCAGGAAAAGGCTCATGGGGGAAGGGGGAGAATCACTTTATAAATAACAGGAAATAAATGTTGATCGATAGGCTGACAGGGCCATTTTCCAAACTACAAGATGACAGAAACACAATATTAATTTGATATTTACAGCTTTCAATACAGAAGAGTGACAAGGCTGAAACAGATTGTTTGTGTCTGCTGCCAAATGCTTTCACTTAGTAAACAGCTACAAAAGATAACCATGGAACTCAGGGTGCCATCACACATCAAATTGGAAACAAGGCAGTAAGTAAAGTGTTCATTTCTAAAAAATAATTAGTGGCGATTATAGTCGCAAGAAATTCTGCAAATCACAATCATGCTAAGATTTCCAATGAACACGAATTGTCCTTTTCTCTAGGATAAAGACCTAGGCAACCTGGACTCTCTCACAACTGTTGCCGCAACCTGCTGAGGTCGCTTCCAACCCAAATTATCCTTAGATCCCTAACACGATGATGATATAAGACCAGGTAATACAGGAAACATTCTGTCAGTCCAAAAACCTGCCTCATTACATCCTCTACAGCTATGGTAAAGAAGCACTTAGTATTTAGTCATCCCAAACTAATAAGACATTGATACAAACAGATACACTGTCAACCTCCTATTCATAAAAATCTCCTTTTCAAATTTTTCAGCATCTCTTCCATCCAGACTTCTAATCTCAACATTTGAAATTTCTGAAGTATTTGGCACTGGAGATGATTTTTATATGTTAAATGGAGGTGGAGGGTTGGGAGATAAAAATCTCTGCCTATTTGAGAATGAAGGTGGACATATTCTTGGGTGTTTTGTACACCTAGGGTTTTTTGATTTTTTTTTTGTGTGTATGTGTGTTGTTTTTTTTTTTTCCAGAAGATAGCATGTTCTTTACTTAAAAGGATTATTTATATAAAGGAACTTACTCAGAAGTGGGTGTGCTGAACATTAGCCCATAGCAGTAATTAAATGCATATAATAACTAAATGTGTTTGATCTTATTCCAGTAATTGGCACTGGCCAACCCACGTGGGTACATCTGAATATTATTTTTAGTTCAGATTAAGAAATCCCACTCACACCAACGGATCTGTATGAAGCTAGGGAAAGCTGCATCATTCCAAATCATCACTCTCCATGTAAGCCCTCAAGTTTGCTCTGGAGAGACCAATTTCAGTGTTAAGAGTCTATGATACCTTATATTCTGATAGTACTAAAAATCATAGGATATGTTTAAGGAAGATAGAAATATTGTGAGATCCTTTCCCGGGGCTCCTCACTTCCACAATTCTGGAAAGGAAAACGGAGTCACTTGTTCCACCCTTTGATGTACATCACCTCTATACCCATAGAACATTAAAGATCCATCTGTTGAAGTACAATTCCACTGAAACCTCACAAAGTCTCTCAGGAAAACAGTTACCCTCTGAACCGAGCTATAAAAAACAACAGAGAAAATTCTGAATGGCTGACAAAAGAGGTCCCAGATCCTCCTACACACTCTGTTTTTCCTAAATTTACCAGCTCAGTCTCTACAAGAATCTTGCTCTTCAAGTGAAATAATTTACATGCATTAAAAAGTCTCCTGGCACATGCACCTTAAGTGCAAACTCTGACTGTAATTTATTTTGACTCTTTAGACTTACCTGTAGGACGCTGGCATATACCCAAGAAGTGCCTGTCAGCACAAGCAGTGAAATTCCATGTTCCAGCATACTGTGATTTGGGATCATTGAGGATTACACCGCACTGATTGTTAAATTCTTCATCAAAAAGCTGAGAGAGAGAAATACCCTTATCAGTCTAAATAAGCCATAAACATACTCTTGTAGAGGTGAAGTAACATGAGGCTAGGAGAACCCCAGCTGTCTGAACTTGTTTAAGAAGTTTCAAAGGAGTGGTGCAATACAGCTTACCTGTTTTACAAACACTACCAGGTGCCTGAGCTTAGAAAGATTTCCTAAGTTAAATATACTTTAGAAGTTGTCATCCAAATAAAGGTAAACAGAACTCCATTACTGTCAGTCATCTTGCTGGTCAATTAAAATGACTAACTAGGGGATTTTGTCTGATACATGTTTTTTTTTGGGGTTGGTGGAATTGTTTTGTTTGGTTGGTTGTTTGGTTTTGGATACAGCTCTCAATAGGCAAGAGAAGTCAAATATCAGAACTTACATCCAGTGGAATTTTCCTTAATCTTCCTGTCAGGAGTGGGTGAAAGTTACTGTACATCAGTCTGCTTTCATCTATCCATTTGTTTTCTCTTGTGCTGAACAGAAACTGTAAACCAATCCAAATATCTTTTGGCATACCAGGAAGCAAGGATGTTATATAATCTGTTGGGCAGAACAGTAAATGCACATATTGTGGTTCAGAAAACAACAGTAAATAGCTGAAAAAAACACTTCACATAAGTAAGACAATTCAATACTTGCTTATATTAACTTTATGTTCCCAGCCCTTCATGATTGTCAAATGCTTACCATTCCTTATTTCCATATGGTAACACCTGACTTTATCTGCAAGGAGCAGGCTATTGGTATTTGCCCTTCAATTTCTGAGCTGAAAAGCAGATTTAACCTGTTTCTCTGCCCACTACTTTGTTTTCTTGCATTTACATCGAAATTTCAGAAGCTGCGTTTCCACAAGTCTGCAAGATCTTCTACTGCCTCCCTGCAGAGATAATAGAAGAGCTCCGTCCTGCCCTCTCTGAACTGACGAAGTCTTATCTCCCATCTTTCTCTCCATATACTATAAATCAGAACAAGTTTTCAGATTCTGGCAGAGTTTTTCCACCTCACCATCAAAGAAAGCAGGACAAGACAACAGAAGTCAGGTTTAGCTGGAAAAAATTCAGCCAGGCAAACCTTAAATCAGACCTCTCTTAATGAGCATTCTGGCAAGAAACAATGGGCTTTGGTGACCCAGCAGGCACCAAAGGCATTCACTAATCTTGACTAGATTAGGAAGACAAACTGAAGCTACGTAATTGGCTACTGCTGTCATGTTTTAACCATTGGCCACATGCCAGACTATGTCAGAGCTAATGCCTGACTGTGCTGATTATGTCAGCAACCTAATGCCACCGGGAAGAGTAGAGGCAGCCTACAGAAAGAGACGCACTTCTTTAAAACGCTTTGTCTTCTTTCCATACAGGTGATCTCCACTACATGGGTGAAAGGAAGACAAACAAGAAGTAATAACAAGCACTTCCGTATGCACCATATCACACAAAAGATCCTGCTATGTAGTATTTCAGAATGGCTATACTTTGGCAATCTTAAAAGCATCCAAAAACATGCAGGCCTCAGATATGTATGTTCCTGCATATGACCCTATTCCTCCCCAATAACAGCAGTTGAAAAAAAATTACCATTCATTTGCTGCCTGCAGGTACACTAGTGACCTCTCTAGTCTACTCGCTGTATTTTGTTTGGCAAGAGGTTACTGGCTCATACAGAAAATATGCACCGTGGACTTTGCAGAGTTCAACCAAGCTACTTCAGATATACCCCCAGAGAACTCTTAATTACCCACAAGAATACAGTTGCAAATTCAGCTGTATCATTCAGTGGTTTATAGTTGAACATTACCTGCAGCCAATGTGAATCCATTTTTTCCCCACTGCATTTCCCTCATTGACTCTAGTGGATAAGAGAGCTGAGAGGCAGACCAGTTCTATGTTTTGCAGCCCTCCTGCCTTCCACCCTCCCATCAGTGCCCTGGAGAGCCTGCAGGTGGTCAGTTTGGACACACTGCCATATTAAGCTGCTAGGCACACACAGACACAGAGGGTCCTATGCGGTCTAGCAGGCATTGTGTTTGCCACCTTATTCCCACACAGACAGCTGAGCTGAACTTGGAAGCAGCTCCTGAGGTAGTTTTCATAGCGCAAAGTCTACAGTCTCAGTTATGTTTTAACTTGCAAAGCAAAACATGGGAATTCTTCATTCAGTGATGACCCCTCATGCTCAACTCCATGCAAGGTTTTACAATCTTTTTTCTTGTTATAACAAGTTAAGATCATACAGAGAAGCTGCTCTTCAAACTGGCTCAAATGTCTGCTGACTGCATTTCCATGTTATGTTTCCAGTGATGCACACAACAGACCATACATTTTTAACTGGTCCTGGATTTTTAGAATGTTCCCAGTATGCCTATAGATAACCAAACGATTTCATGTTCAAGTTCTTAAGCAGACCTATTCTGAATTTGGAAGTGAAGCTGCATATTAAAAGTGCCCCTAGTTCACCATCATACCTTGCTCAGCTTGATCTGAGATAGATGGAAGAGAGCCTCCAAAAGTTACACACTTTTCATTAGCTGCATTAAATGTTAAATATTCAGGTTTCATCTTCTGGAAACACTGCAAAACAAACATAATGAAACGGATTTTCATCCTACCATTCTGCTTAAAAAATAAATATGAAAAGGTTCTTAAACCAACCCTAAAAACTCACTTCTCATTTCCTGCAACAACATATAATTATTTTTCGCAGGAAGCAAGGAACTTGATACTAGCTGCAAGCATTTATTAGATTCATCAGAATAGCTAAATATAAAATGATCCCACTGACTAACTCCTCACTCACTGAGGATTAGAATTCAATCATTTTATTGGCTACATCAGAATCATGTATTGTTTTAGGAATGAGAACTCACACATGAACTCTACAGTCAGATAGTGTAATGCCTTGTATTGTAATTACCTTTTGGGGAAAACTACATGGGAACTCAAAAGCTTTATTACGCAATGACATAAAGTAAATTTGTAAATCTTAGCACAATGTAGTGTGCAGATCTGATGGACACATACAGAATAATGGTGGACCAAACAACAGGAATGAGTCTCACTAAGACTTTAGATGACTGTCAAAACATACTACTGAAATAGACTATACTATGTCTTCTGACCTGTTGGTTAAAGCTGCTTCTAATTCTTAAGTGAGTTAAGTCCTTAAGGCAAGTAAGGAAACTGTCTGCCAGCTTGCTGCCTGCCTAAGATTACTCAGCAAGAGAATCAAGATACTTCTGCCACAGAAACCTCATCCTCTCCCTTTTTAATCCTTCTCTTCATTCAAGTAGAGCCCAAGATCAGACAACAAAACAAATGTTCTTGGACCTAAACATGTGGTGATGGGAAAGCAAAAAACCTGAAAATTAATGCTTTGAAATTAAGAAACTATCAATCCTGAGTAAGGGACAGAAGTGAGGGAGATTATTTTAATCAAAACACAGTTTTTATAGTTTTCAAAAGCCTAGTTCATTCCTCAACACAGGGGCTACCTCCTCATCTCTTCCACAAGAGCATTCCAGGTAACTGGACTATGAAAAATAGGTAAGGATGATTAATCTGTATTATCATTGTACCTTATTCCGAAACTGATGCCAGCCTTTAGGGCAACCTCCTCTGACTGGGCGGTAACTGGGATCATGTTTCTCTAGTAAGGAGGCATTATTTTTTTCACAGATGAAGGGTAGTTTCACATTACAGTTAATTGGGTAGTCTGCAGAGATAGAAGTTTTAAAAAACAGTTATGATAATGCCACGTCACATTCCAATTCCCATCCATACTTTATGACATGACTAAAACCAATCTGAAGGGAAGTCCTTTTCAGTGCAACTACAGTGAACTACTATGCAATCTAAAGCATTAAAAATAACAGTAGAGAAAAAGGCAAAGATAAATGATTTAATATTGGACAGTAATATAAAATTCCTAAAAATCTAGAGTCTGACCCTTATTTCCAGTAGTAACATTTCATATAAGCCGAGAAAACTTGAAAAAAGAAAAATAATCAAAAAAGATTCTGTATATGAGGACTAATCTCATATTCTGGCATAGAGGATGTGACCTAAATGTCATTAAAGCCAAAAGGAATCCTTCAGCATCCATGTGGAGAGCACCTCGCCTGCACTGCTTTACATGACTCCTTCAGTAACTGGACTGACTTCCTAGTCAAGAGCAATTTTTGGTTAATAGAGATGAAAACAGTTCAGCAGCATACAAGTGAATGTTGGGGAAAACATGATTTAAAGTCAAAATGGTAGTAGACAGGAGGAGCGTCTTCTTCTCCAGAGGTTATAAATTTTCCCCAACATAAAACAGTGTTGAAAAAAGGAAACAAGCTTCAAATACCACCAGCTGGCTTTTCCATTAATTTGTGTATCTCTTACAGTATGACTCCACTACTTAATGAAATTTGCACCTCCAGAGGTATATATGGTTGCAAGTATGCAGTCAAACCTGCTTTAACTAACACAGCTCTCAGACTTAAACTCCAGAGCTCAGAATACACAGCATCAACACAGAAAAGTAGCCACCAAATCGAGATTTCACCTAATTAATGTATGTTGCAAAAAGAATGACAATCATCAAAATTTGTCATCTGAATTCAGGTTTGCCTCTGATCATTAAGAAATATTACCTGTGGCTTCTACCACGAGGAAGTAATAAATGATTCAAAATTCAATCAGATTATTATGAAGAAGCCATTCATTCCTAATTCAATATCATTTGCATCCAATATAAGAATATGGGGAGAATGGTAATTACTTTTTTTTTTTTTTTATAAATACAGTAATGACAGATGGGGTAAAAAAATTAAAACAGCCTTACCTCTATACCAGTTCTTTCTAGAAACATACCAGCATTCTCTCAGGAATCTATCATGCAAGCGTGGAAATAACTGTAAACTGGATATAAATATTTCAGAGTTAATCTCCAATCCAAGGTGATCTTCAAGAGGAAGCCCTGATAGCAACAGTCAGTGCACACTAAAATATGAGCTGGTAACTATTTCTACATGGCCTAGACTAGACTAGGATAAATATATGGTAGGTTCAGTAGATGTGTACCACACTCAAACTAACTTTGTTGAGATGTGCAGAACGAGGTTATTTATCACCATGCTGCAATCAGAGCACATTGTCAGCACAAGTGAGGGAAATGGGCAATAACTCTGGTTTTCTTTTCACAGTAGTATATTTCTGTAGTATTTTGGAAAGTGAAGGACTTTCCTTTTAAGAAGCCAGTGAATCTTCTCTGCAGCCATGAAGAGCTTGAAGCAAGGTTTGCTTTGAGTCATCCCAACTCTACAGGACTATACTAAAAGCTCTCCAAGACTCTGGCATTACCTAACTGGAAGAGTGATGTTTTAAACCAATTTCCTATTCCCTGTTCTCAGGTATTCCTCACATGTTTTCAGAGTCAACAGACAGGGCTTTTTTGGTTTTGTCAGTTCTGCAAGTATTAACAGAACATAGAAGTGGGTTTAAAAATCCAATAAAAGCACTTTAAAGATCAAGGGAATACATTAGCTACTAGGACTACAGATTTCAAGGATTTCCATGACAAGACTAAGGTGCCTAAGCCCAAAAGCCCAAAATCCAGAAGTTCTGATAGACAAAAAAGAAGTAGATTATTAATTCAGTTATTATTAAATTACTCCGAATCAACTATTCTAGTTAACTGTATTCCTGAAAAGCACATCAAGTTTGCAATAAAGCATCTTTAAATTACTCTACATACGGTGAATGATAGCTGTAGCCATAATCAATAAACTTCAGCCACCACTTCTGTTCGCTGTTTGATAACTGTGGAAAAAAGAAGTAAATCCAGTATTTTATAACCTACAGAGAAAGAGCTCCAGACTCTACCAAAGATAAAGTAATGACAAAATTAGTCACTGAGGTATTGAAACGTTTTTGTAAGATTCCTTAAAAGTATGTACTTTCATACTATGAATACCACAAATCCCTTTCAGCAAAGCCTATCAGACCATCATGCATTTATAATTAAGTCCTCTCATCATGTGGAAAATTATGTCTTGTCCCATGCATAAAATGAAGAACTGGTACAACTGTTAATGAAATATTTGCAGACAGTGAGATGCTTATACAGTGGTCCTGTTATGACACTTTTTCTCCATTTGGAGTGGTTTGGTTTTTTTCATGTTTTTAAGTCTACTTAAAAATTTTTTTACAAGATTGTCATTAAAATAATTCTCATTTAATTCATCTATTCCTTTTCAGTATAATTGAGAACTACAAAGGCCAACAGGAAAAAGAAAGAAATTAAGGATTAACATTTTCTTATATCAGAAAACCTGGCAAGAAAATTTCCCTACAGTGTAAAGTAACTGTCAAAAGCGATTACACTGCCTTACCTTTTCTATTTGAGACAGTATTATCCTGAGTTTTGGGTAAGACTCCACGGAGGCTAAATCACTATCATTTTTTTGACAGTAGGAAATAGCTTCCTGGTAGCTCAAGTTTTTATCTGGTACAAACCACAGCTCTGCTCCATCAACAACAAGTGGGGCTCCATGAATTCCAATTTCATCTATACGCAGAAGAAACACCACATGCGTAAGAAATAAATTCTGAAAAGCTAATCCTTTTCTGAATGTAGTAAGAAATCTCAGTTTGACACCGGGAAGAGTCAACACTCTGCATTCTGAACTCTCTCAGAATCAAATTCCATCTATCATAACCTTTCCTGGTATCAAACAAAAATTGCAGTAGCAATGTAACAACCCTAATAAAAAATACTGAGTATAAACAACCATATAGACATAGTGGAAGAATACACAAGAACTCCATTTACCTGGTATATACCACTCAGGTGTCTTTGGAGTGCTACCTGTCCAGAGGAAAAAAAAAAATAGTCGCTTAAGAGTTCACATTTTTTTTTATCTCTCAAGTAGAATACAAGCATCCAAGTAGTGTATCCACCAGCATCTCACCACAACAAGAAAGCTTCATCCCCTGAAACACCTTTTAATGAAAAAACAAAATATAAAAGTCTACTGGATAACTTTTCACACTGCATGAGAAATCCTGGATCTGTGTAGACATGCCACACCATTCTTTTGTATTCCTATGCCTCTCTTTCACTACACTGAGGAGCCAGTACACCAATTTTACCAGAAGGCTAATTCACCTAAGGTTGATGCAAACTGTACACCCAAGATATTCGTGGTGATATAGTTACAAATATCACTAAGAAAAATTAAGTAAAGCACACAAATTCTGCAAGTCTGTGACCTGCATCACCTCACAAGAAACCACCTCTCACTTAACAGGACTAGAAGGAATATGAGAGCAGTGATACTGCATTCTCTTCATAGTTATTTGCTGATGTATCTTCGAATATTCTAATTGTACACCTGTTTGTACGTGACACAGGTGAGACATTTCATGCACTGTCTTCTCAGCACTTCAGAAAGGAAACAGTAAAATATTGTTTGGAAAGTTTCTATTATTGGGCAACACTGACAACTCAGTTGTAATAAACTCTTTATATGAATAAATGGATGTAACTGCAGTTTACCTTTAGTTATCTGGCAGACCCATTCAAGTTTAGCTTCACAATCAAAAGGCCTGAAGTAAAATTCCAGGTCTCTGCCTTCATGGAAATAAAATCTCCAAAATGACCTCCGTGAAAACTGGGAGGTCTGTATAAAAGTAGAAACAGAGAACTGAGTTAGCACAGCATACACCTCTGAAATGTAAAACTAAATCGTATTAAAAAAGTACCTCGGCAAAGTCAGTGTATTTTATGGTGGTGTCCCACAGTATAGTTTGCAAAAAATGAACAGATACAACTGTAACTTCAACTATAACTCCCCATGTGAAGCAATTAGGTAAAGGTTTACGGTCAGTTGCATACCAGTCTTTTCTAGCAATATTATTTCTTAGGGTTTCTGTGGCGCACAGGATCTCATAGATGCTTTTTATTAAATTATCTGTTGCAACTTGTTCCCCTGAAGTGATTCTCATTTCTGCTGAAACTGGCACAGAAATAATCTTTCTTATTTATTTCTTACAATCAAGGTTAAAGAACTGACTTCACTTTTGCTGATCTCTCCAGTAAGGAGAATTTTTTATCATTTAGTGAAATAACATGTCTGTAACTAGCACTTAGGAGAGGGAAGTTATTGGAATGATCTTGTAAAAAGTCAGGTGATGCTTCAGAAAAGGTAAAGGTCATTTTAAAACTTACGCCATCAAGACTAAATTAAGTAAAGCAGAGGTCTGACATCTGAAATTAAAAACCAACAAAGCACTAACAGTCTATTTCACCAGTAAACAAGGAAATACATAAAATAAACACAAACACATGCTCTATCCTGGCTACTGCACTCCCCTACTTCAGGTTTCAAACTTCTTCTTAATTTGCAGTTCAGAAAAACTAGTTTAGATTTTGAAGTTACAAGTAGGGTTCTGCTTTTTTGTTTTAGACGACATGATACATCCTTAAGAGTTATGTTTAATATACTAGAGATACACAGTATGGCATTATGCAACAGCAAACAGCATTGTTACTAAAATATTTTGTAGTTAAAAAGGTTCAAAAGAAGTCATATGAAAGGTTATCATTAGCATAGTGCTTGGTTCATAAAAAGCTATTTGAATAAGAATAATTAGTAATAGATGTAGATTGATAAAGGGAACAGCAGCAGCTTTTTCACTATGTTAAGAAAACATCTCAACCTAAATTCAATATATGTCTGGAGAAAGTATTTTTTCCACATACTTCTAAGTAAAAACACGCATGTTGTTATTAAAAACATTGAAACTAACCTTTAATGCAGCACAGTCTCTTGTATCATATTCATCTTCCAGATACTCGAGTGGCATAACAACACTAGTTACCTACAAGGTGATGGAGAGGATGAAAGAATCAGCACTTTATGGTTTGCTATGGTAAACCCAAGAGAAAACCATTCAAACCTGAGGTCCCATTATGTTTATTACTATTAAAATATGTGTTGAATGGCAGTTACTCAATCAATTTTGAATCTCCATATCTGTTACTGTGGTGGGGGGAAGAACTCACAATTTCAGGCAAACAAAACAATTACAGTGAAGAAGATATTTTTGGAGAAGTCTGACATATCAAGGAGATGAACTGATAAACCCTCCCCTCTGTTGCGCCAAGAAGACACCTTGTTCTCTCCACCAGCTTTTAGATGTTTACTACTATATTTCTATTAACTGTTACTATATTAAATATTCTAATATAATGGAGACGGAAATTAGGTTGACCTTATTAAAGCTATGTTTTTTAACTGGAAATCCATCTGGATGATAGCTCTTAAGTGCAAAATCTTCTTCTGAATTATTAATCTACTGAAGGATCTGCCATATTTTAATTAAAATATTTAGCAATTTACTTTCAATTCAGTCCAAGTTGAAACAAATCAGGACATCATGTTTCCAGGTTAAGAGTTAACTTACAGGTTTATCATCACTCCACTGCCAGGTTCCCAAAGAATCTGGACTCCTCTTATTCATTCCAATCCATACCCATCTGTCATTGCTGTAAATAAACAAGACAAAAATCTTACACCAAGCATGGTTCAGCACATTTTATAAAAAGACTGACCTATGTCATGGCATTACTTATGATCAACCAGCAAAAACAAAGGTTTACTACTGCAAGTTGTAGCAGTTCAAAGAGAAAACAAGCATAAGGGCTAGGACCTCTTCTGTACAGAAGAAAACTAACTAAATCAATTCCTTTTTTGGCTGAGTTTTCTATGAAATCACACACTACATGAAACCCTACTGCAAAAGAGCTGTGGAAAGGGCACTCTCACCAAAGTGGTCTGACAGCAATAGAATAAGTACAGATACGACAGTACAGGGCTCTTGCAAAACTGTATCAGGAGTACTAATTCCATAAATTCATGTTGTATCAAACACAGAGAAGGAACACAGGACATTTGAGGAAATTAAAGTTTAGGCTATTAACAAGAATTAAGGATTTTCTTGTCTAGCCTTTACAAAGAAAGACAGGAGAAAGAATATAATTAGTCTTTATAATATTTTAGGAGATTAAACCAAGAAGAGGAGCTATTTGAGCAAAAAGGACATCAAGTCTGAATGAACCACATCTTGGGAATAAATTTAGGCTCAAAAACGGAAAGAGATGTCTGACCAGCAGAGGTCAGAGTTTGGAAAAGGTTCCCAAAAAAGTAGTGCTAACAAACTTAAGAAAGAGATTTAAAGTCAGAACTTGGAAAGTTTATGAAAATTACTTTATTACAAGGAGGGATGGACTCAGACCTAGGCTTACCTGACAAGTAATGTTATGAAATCACAAGCCAGTGTTAAGAAAGTCTTAACGTTTGTTACAAATATGTTACACACATAGTGGCTGCGCCACTAGCTTTCCACACATATCACCATAAAGATGCCGAGCAGCCTGAAAATACTGACAGTGCAGTACCAGGAAAAAGCTTAGCCCAGAGTATGTGGGCTAAGTATGAAATCCTAGAAGGGCAACAGTATTTTATTTGGTAGAGTTCCCCTTAGCCTCAGCCATTTGAGAAACTTGTTTCAAAAGGATTTGCAGTAATTTGCAGTAATTACCCGAGGATCTAGAGCAATTTTTCAAAGTCTGTCAACTTTTATTTGGCTTTCAGATAATAAACAGATTTAAAAAGGGGAAAAAAAAAAAAAAAAAAAGGTGCCAGGTCAAGAATTAGCTGTTCTCCCATTTTATAATTACTGGCCTGCAAACAAAACAATGTTTTCAGCTGACTAGGCTCTTGCACATTAATGTACATATTTTGCTTCTTTTTGGAACTGTTCAGACATGACCATGACTAATTCAGGAACTGCCACACTATACTTGACAGTACTTTTATGCCTTCTGATAGTCCTCTGAAATTATACTATCATCTCATCACAGGAAAGAATTCCAGCAACTACTGAAGAAAAATATGAATTAAGACTCTCTATTGTAACTAAGCTTGCAGCACCAAATTTGTTTGTGTTTCAGGCATCTATCTTCACACTGCAAAGCATTTGAAATCCATCCTATGGATCTGTATCAAAATGGATTTATTATCGCTAGCGTATTCTTTGAGCTACACTGGAACTGTCTCTAAAACCTAGATTATCCTGAGTTTTAACCTAAAAAAAAGGTGCAATTTGTGCTTTACAATGGACTCCACACTGATTAACAATGAAAGACCCTAAATCTCCAGCAATCCCTGCAGAATACTGGTGTTTTTTCTCTCACACAGACTAAAACTTCATAAAAGTCAATGTTCTACAGGAGTGGATAAATACAGCTTAGACTGAGGTAAAGGGACTGTAAACCAGTAATTTTTCTAATCATATTCTAACTGCTGAAATAGAAAAATAATTTTTTCTGTCCTTTATGTCAGCTCCAACACAAGGTTAGGAGCCTAAGTGAAGTTACTGGGGTTTGTAGGTCAATCTTGTTCTTGACATGAGGTAATGTGTACATCTGGGCCAACTCGTTAAGGGTGCAATTTAAGGCACCATTTAATCTTAGGCAGCACTGGCCTAAAACTACGCATGAATCCCATCTAAACCTCTGTTCTTCCCCCTGTGAAAGGCTACTGCACTAGCTAAATCACATCCTGCTAATTACGTACTCTTGAGTGGAAGAAAAGAGAAGCTGAATTACTGCAATTACTACAGCCTGCATCTCAGCTTTATTGCTGTTTGAGCCAGCAGGTTAAGATCAGTTTTTTCTTTCAAACTCAAGTATTCATGAGGCTTTCTAGATTCGGAATAATTACAGCAGCAGAACTGTTCATATTCTGATTTCTTTCCAGTGAGGTGTCCTCACTGAAATGTCATTTCTAACCAATCCAAGGTATTACTCTCCCCATGTCCAGCACTGCTGCCAGCTATAAGCTGCAGAATGCTCACAAACTCAGTCCAAAAAGAATGGAAGTAACTGAACCAGATCTGTTCTGCCTGTATCAAGTCCCTTCAAGTGAAAAGAGGTTCTCTCCTATTTCTTTCAGAGGGAAGGTTGGCAGGCAAAGTTTATTTTCCTTTCCAATGGCAATAGCCTGACTTGGCTGGAGCAATTCTAGCTCTTATTTGCCTCTAAGGTGGAATCCGAGTCAAGAACGGAATGGACTAGGCAAGCTGCCCTTTTCCTGGTGAACCAAACTGACTCTTGCTAACATTTAAAAACAAATAATTCTCAATGAGTCACCAGAGAACTGTGCAAGGGGAAAAAACCCAAAACCAAAAGAGCAGAGGTGTGGCTCCTTCCCCAAGCTGAAATGAATGCACTGAATGAATACTTAAGGTCAGAGTTTGCACTGACTAAATACAGGGAACATGAACAAACTGCATGCCAGCGCACTCCAGCAGCTAATCACATCTAACATTACCTTAGGATGATTTCTCCCAGTTAGCTAAGTTATTTGTTCTTGGCAAAATAATTCACTTGGTTTTCTATTTCCTTTCTCAAATGAACTTAAGTTTCAGACAAACTACCCTTGAAACTTAACCTCCAAAGTATTTTACATAACCACCACCTCTGAGTAATTTAAAAGCAAAACTATCTTCAACAATTATATTATCTAAACAAACAAATATCATTTAAAATACTTCAGGCAATATCAAATACATAGTACACCAGTTCAGAATGAAGTGAAAAAAAAGTGCTGAAAAAGAGGTTAACTTAGATGAAAATACTGTATTTTCAGTTATATTTGACATGTGCAGTCACTGCAACACTGACTACAACCTCGATTTATACTGGCTCAATATATTGCCCCTTATCTTTAAGTTCTGGTAGAATAAAATTGAAGTACTGGGACTTTCCTTCTTTCAGTTCAAGTTTTCTGAAGTATGGGAAGTGCAGGAGCATTGTGTGTCAGCTGACTTCCTGGAAAGACAGAAGTCTCCATCTTTAAACTCCTAACAAAAAAATGGTCCTTAACTATAATTAATACCTCAGATGGTCTGCAAGCTGAAAAGCAGTTCCAAGTATTTGTGGGACAATAAAATGTTACTTCTCTATTTATTTTTCATAGTAGATCAGGTACACTAAAACAAAATTTGTAATTGCAAAAGTGTCTAATAAGATCTAAGCTATATATAATTTCTGCATTGATTTTTATTTCAGGGACTTCAGTCAGTTTAGCAAAGGAACCACAAGTGGCTTTTACACAAGCAAAACTATCTATATATAGAGCATACGAGTTTGTTTTTGTCTCTTAACATAAACACTGAGTAATTTTCATGACTTGTGCACTTCTAAAAAAAGTTCACAGTCTTTTCAAGAAGGCATCTCATCAGTCATCAGGTTTTAAAATTTAATCACAGTGTTGTGTGCTGGCAGCTTTTGATATAATCCTCATTTAGTCTGTTGATGAAAAAATTTAGATCACATAACTGGTAGCATTTGAGTTTAAGTTGGCAAAAGTTCTGAAAAACCAGGCTGTCAATCAAAAAAAACATATTACACAAGGATCTGACATCACACCAATGCCTAATAAAGCTTTGCAATGACAGTTCATTTCATTAAAAATAGAGGTTTAAACTCATAAATTATGTAGCATTTAATTTGTTGATACCAGAAAACTCAGCACACCCATCTAATGCCCATATAGTGTTATTGCAGTTATGCCAAATGGGATCTGTGCCAACCAGATTGCTGGACACTACATTATGCACATTTTCAAAAGATAGCACCTAGTTTAGTCAGGAAGCATGAATAAAATATTTCATGAATAAAAATGAGATGTATCTGCAAAACTGGAATAATAACTTGTCTCTTAAGGACATATCAGTAAATAATAGGTACTAACTACCACCCAGCTGTGCCAAAATTCAACATAAGGAAATACTTATTATACCAACAGACTTAATTTGCTTTGAGTATCTTCCATTACATACATTTCTCTTTTCCTGTGCTGCCTCTAGCAATGTGAAGTATTTGCCCAAGCTGTATTCCCTTGACATTTTCCAGCAAGGCAGTTCAAATACCACATCTAGCTGTTCTTACTGTGGGAAACACAATTGCTGCACACTGTCTCATACTTGCCATTCGGGGTCAGCAGCATTTCCGATCTACTGCAGAAAGCAACGGAAATCAAAATTTTAGAGCACGGCTAGTTTGTTACCTGATCATTTTTCTCAGGATAGAATGAAGTGCCTTGACTTCTTCTGAGTGACTAAAACTAGGCAGATGGCCTCCAAGTGCTTCACAGAACCTTTCTGCCTCTTCCCAGGTCCTGGTTCGCAGCACTCTTTCACTGTGGAAGAACTTCACAACAGCCAAACATCAGAGCAGAACATGACAGAAGTGACAGCATTTTTAAAACACTCCTGGTACTACTCAAACATGATCACCTGAGATCCCAAATCAGATCACCTGATTTAACAACTGGTATTTCCAAAGGAGAGAACTTCACTTTTTAATATTTTTTTTTTCTGGTTTGTTTGACAACAGCCTGACTCTGAAGTTTAGCTGACAAATTTCAAACTCAACATATTCCATATGACAGACTTCCTCTGTTTTTCTTTACCAGAAAATTTTAGAAAACACCACCCAACTCATTCCAAAACTACAAGTCAAAGTGTAAGTTTTAAGGGATGCTGTTCTTTCAAGTTTATCATGAACTGCAAAGCCTAATGTTCCCTGAAACTGGGCTCACTTGGGTGCTGCAGGTGAAGGAGTTCTTTGGCATATCCTTTGCTACCTGTACGCATCAGTGTTGCAACTTTGGCTCATACACCTCAGCTAACATTTCCACTTGATTCCTCTGGCTTTAGTCCAAGCCAATTCCCATCAGCTAGATCTCTCTGCACAGACATGCTGCATTTGGTCAACAACAGTTCTGGAAAATCTGCCAGGGCCAGCTGTCATGTCCATCAGCTATGGGACAGTTACGCTGCACATCAGCTAGACCTTCCCTTCAGAATGCTTGCCCACACCCTTGTTATTCAAGCTGGGTTTCCCCATTTTGCCACGAGGTGTTTACAAGAGACAGTTCACTCCAAGCGCGGAGTCCAGAAATAATGAATTAACAACCCAATGAACACTCTCAGTTTTAACTTGATTTCACTGTTAATAGGAGGGAAAATCCTGCATTTCTAAATATAAACTTGTTTAAGCCATTCCATCTAACAGCTCAGCTGCTTACCTCCTCACTACAAAATCAGTAAAACTCCTTGCTCACTACAAAAACAGTAAAATACAATTGAGGCTGCATGTTTTTTATATCCATACTCATACCAGAGAAAATCCCACCTCTCCTATCTACACTGCTAAGAGTATAGAAAGGAAAAGAACAAGGGCAGGTGATGCAAAAACAAGGGCAGGTGATGCAAAGTGCTTTCCTTCCCTATTCAGGTGTCTCTGCGTTCAAGTTGGCAGCAGGCTCTGATAAGGATACAGTGCCCTCCAACAGCAACAGACCCCTGAGATGGCAGCACAGGGCAAATGCTGTGGCATCAACATCAATTCCCCCCTCCTGGTGTAAAACACCTCTAAGACACACTTCAGAGCAGCTATGCACCACATACTCACACAGTTGCTCCAGACAGTAACAAGCAATTAACATCAAACAGGAATAACATTTTACCTTGTAGCAGGCAAGGCCAGATCCATTGTGCCACCCAGGGGGACAGGGATCAGTTGGCTTTGGGAGCACTTCTGGCTCCTTGGGCTGCCCAATATATTTTTTGCAGATCGAAAGTGCTTTGGTGGTTTTACAGTCCTTAGTTTCCCACTTTCCAAGAGAATTGCCATTGGACATGGCCACACATCCTCCTGAAAACTCTAAGATTAAAGGCATGAGAAACATATTTAAAACCATTGGCTGGTTTTCCCAAAAAAACCTGACATACTTGTCACTAACTATTTTATTTCATCCCTGGAGTTGTGTAACATGGTACTCCATTTCTTGCTCAATGTAAAAGGATAGCATTTTTATGTATTTTTGATTTTCAAATTTACCTGGTTGCAAGGAATTCCAGTTAGTGTATGTCACAGCTTCCGGTTTTTCTCCATTCACTGTACCCCAAGAATATATTCCTGATTGGCTAATATCCTGCAAACCGGTCCAGAAGTACTTTTCGTCAATTTCGGTGTGTTTTCTCATCAGACTGTTTATAAATTCTTGCTCAAATCTGAAAATTAGCAGATTGATCTGAGTCAATATTTGAAAGATATCTGGAACTACTAAGACGACTTGAAAACTAGACATATTACTACATGAGTCAGTTCAAGCAGTTGTCCAGGCAGTCCCTTATTCAACATGGGGTCTGCAGGTTGGGAATTCTCATGCTTCCAAGAAGGTTCACACTGTAGGTTTACCACTGTCACACCATGGAAAATGGTTTTTGCTAGTTCTCAGGACAAGTAATTCTCTACCTACTTTTTCTTTACGAACCATTAGTTACCATACGAAGGTTTTAATCTCTGATTTCTTTCTCCAGGATTGTACTGTTAAACCTGCCTTTAAGTTACAAACGTGCTTTACCTGTTCATCACTGTAAGATTGCACCGTGTTCCAAATGAAACTTCCGTTTTATCAATCCTGTAACAATAGTTCCCATGTCTCTCCCATCCCTGGTTAGAGAACAAAAACCACATTTGAACAAAACAATCTAACTCAGCCATTACTTACAGGAGAAAATAAATCATTGCCAACATTGCTGATGCCGCAAGCTGGCACATCATAAACAAGAAAGAAACGCGGTGTGTCGCAGCATGTCACATACAAGGTCCAGTATCATCAACTCTTCAGATTCACAGTCATAAGAAATAATGCAGCCACAGGAATAAAATACACCACTGTTTTAGCTTGCCTGTGTAGAGTCTTCTGACCACTATGTGCATTTACAGAGAGAAACACAAGGGCAACAGCCGAGTCCTATTTAAAACAATAGGAGTTTTCATGCTGTTCCACCAACGCCAGGATTCAAACAGAGGAATACTAAGAGGGCATTACCAGTGTTTCTTTACTTCTGAGAAAAAAAGGATGAACTTACTAAATTTCTCTTTTATTCAAATACTTCTCCCCATATTTACACTGAAATTTCAAGGCACATTAACGTGTTAACTCTTTTCTAGCCTACCAATGCCACTGGTGTCTGAGCAGCACTAAAAGCTGTAACCCTACATGCTAGAGGTCTCTGAAAAGACTGTGAAAAATACTCCAAGGCTGCACAGGAAGAAAGATAAGGGGTAAACATTTTTCCTGTTTTAAGTAATGTGCCACACAAGACTGAACCAAGTAACTCTGAAGTAGCTAGTAATACTATCCTAAACTTGTTCAAAAGACAAGAGACTTCTTTTTAAGCCTTATTTATGCTAACACGTTATACCTTAAAAAAAAAAAAAACACACAAAAGCAAAACAACCAAACACCTCCCACCTTTATTCAAGTCACAGAACAAAAATGAGAGCCTAGTGATGCGTAACAGAAACCTAATCTCAGTTAACAATCTTTGCATATCTTTATATTGCCAAGTGCTTATCTCAAATTTTAAAACATACTTAAAGATAAACCACAGTACAAATGGTGTTATTGATAACACTTCCAATTTGTTTTTTCAAACAAATAAATAAAACACAACATCTCTTGGGTCCAGGCTCATAATACTTTTATCAATAAACAAACTGATAATACTTCCAGAGCCTGCTTAGGAGAATCTGAAAGTTGGCTCATGCTATACACATGTCCTTTTCCAGCTAAAATGTTTCATAGATTTTACTGAGCAGACAAGAATGAAATGGAAGTAGAGGAAGTAAGTGCTTTTAAGCAGATTTTAGGCTTTCTGAACCAAGTGACAGTAAAAGAAGTACAGGCTATTACCTCTTCCAGTGAACATCTTTCATCTGATTTCGTTTCATTCAGAATATCTCCTTTTTTCTTGCAAACATATTTCAATTTTTCTTCACAGGATTTCACTCTCCACTGTCCCAACTGTATGAATGAAACGAAAAAAATACTTTAAATTCTAAGATCTTTCAATTTCCACGTTTGCAGGGGCTGAGTTTCCACAAGGGCAAAAGCCAAAATGCCTCTACCATAAATATTAGGGTGAGATGCCCTGGGTTGTGTGCATAGGCACATGTTTGGAAGGGAGAGAGAAAGCTGGCACGTGCAGAGATGGGAGGTTTCTGGATCACATCCAAAAGGGAAAGAAAAGGCCAGGGTGGTACCAACTCTCCTAGACCAGGAAGGGAATGGGTGCAGGAGGTCTGCTCAGCTTGCTGTGGAAGCAGCTCAGACAAGCTGAGCACATGAGATCCAATAGCTTGCCCCACTTCTCCACCAAATCTGGATAGGATACAGCCTGCTTCCCACTATCCTAGTGACCTCCTTCCCTCATCCACTCCTTCCTTCTTCTGTACTGTATAGCCTCAGTGTCTGCCCTCTCCTCTCACCAAGGTATCTCACTACCCATGCTCAGATTGGGTGGCCCAAACTGGTCCTGAAGAAGAGTGAACCCAGCTTTTCCTTTCAATAGTTTGCCCCACCTCCTTTCTAGCTCTCTGCCAGAAACACGCAAGAATGCATTAACCCTAAATGCAGAGGAACAAGGACAACTGTTTGGCCAACAGAAGTGACAGTCTCAGAGCTGTGAGTCATTTCTTCCATTCTTTCCTGTACACAGCTACCAAGTTTTGGTTAAATAATTTAAATCAATTTGCTTGTAGAAAAACGGTTATATGTATTTTAAATATTATTCCAGAAATAAGTTATGTGCTTTATCCCCCTCCTTGACTTTCAAACACATCAGTGTCACCTCTACTGTGATGCAACACTGTGTTCCTACCTTGCCTGAATATGACACGCAGTTAGGAGTGCTGTTAAAAGGAACTTTTGGTTCATTCTGATCCCAATATGTGAAAACCACAGTCGAATGATCTGACCATTTGAACAAGGTTGGCACATCTTCATTCCTAAGACCCATCCACATTTCTTCTTCTGCATCTGTAATTTAAAATTAGGACAATATTGTAGTTTCAAAATAATATTCAAACTAATAGGACAGGAATGTGGCATCAGCAAAATTAATTTTTTTATCACTATACTGTGCTGATTTTTTTTCTTACAGTGAAAAAGGGTATTTGAGATAAGCACAATGTATTATTGTTTCTTAACTTATTCATGCCTATAAGTGAGTTTCAGAGAGAACATAACAAAAAGGAAAAAATATCCACAAACAGAAATAACAGACACATAAGCCAAATGAAGCTCAACCAAATTTAATTTTACGAGTGTAGGTAAAGATGCAACACAGAGATCCAGCAGTCAAAATACTGACCCAAATATTTACTATTCTCTTTGAATGAGGAAATTAAACACAAAGTATTAAGAACCTAGAAGTAGGTTAGCCCAGTAAATAAATAAATAAATAGACAGATCAAATGAAAACAAGAGCTAACACAGAGGGCCTGGATCTGAACAGCAACATTCAGCACCAGCCTGAGTACAAGCTCAGAATGAACACCTGCATTTAAAAGCAAGAGGTCACGACAAGCTTATGCTAGAACATGGAAAGTAGTTTGAAATTTATGGTGTGCACCACTTAGTGCTCGACCTTTACAACCATCTCAACTCACCATTATGAAGCCTTGTAACAACCAGTTCAACATCTGCTAATGAGTGTATGCTGATGAGGTTACTCTTATTTGCTTTGCACAACTCATCTGCCGTGCTCCAAGGTGCCGGGTCATTTATCAGCATGTAGCAAGAGCCATCGTAGGGAAGCCAGCCCGAGTCACAGCGAGTATCCAAGTGTCTCCAATCCTCTATTAATGAAGAGAAATGGAATTAGAGGCTTTTGTTTTACTTCGGGTAGGGCAAGGGGTTGGCTTTAAATCCAGCAGCACCCTGAAAACAGCCAGAATGCAGCAATCAGAACGTGTTAACATCTCTTCAGAGCTAATCTTTTAAGAAAGGGCGACAGTTTAGTCAAACAAATAGACTACAAAGAGCAGCACCGTGAGGACTTATATAATATCTTGGGGCCATGTAGTAGGCAGAAGGAGAAAGAAGTTAATGTGAGTGAAAGTAAAAACCAGAATGCATTACATTAGGCTTAAGCTTTAGTGTAAGTGAAAGGTTCAAAAGTAATTGTAAGCAAGATTTCAAAAGCAACTAAAGATAAATCAAGTTAAGTCATTGCAGGATTGCAGCACACTTAGGGTTGTTTTTCCCCTCAAGATATTGAAGAATTCACACTGGTTTTAATGCATGCTGAAAAGGTATATACTAATAGCCCCTCTGGTTCAAAACACACTATAAAACATTCCAATCACAGGAATTTTGTTTTTTAATTAATAATACACTATATAAACACTGGCAATGACTCTACATAACCCACTGAGGAGCAAGAGAACAGATAAGAATTATTAACTGGCAACTAGTTTTCAGGGGATCATTTGAAAATTTGAATCAGTTTAGTTAAATTTAAATGGATTACTACTTTTTCCTCAAAGGCACACACCTTTCCAGGGGGAGCTGGAGAGAACATGCCTTAGTCAGAGACACTCCACGACACTTCGCCCCTGCACAACACTGCTTCTTCATCCCTCTTATCCCCTAGTCCTCCCTATTATCCAAGGACAATTACCTTCCAGTAAAAGTTTTTGCAGGAGATCCCTGCAAGCACGAGCCTTGGAAATTAGGTAAGCCCAAAGCACGCATGGAAGAACAGGTCATAGATATGGGAAGAGTTGGACATTTAGGTGAAGGTAAATGTCCAAAAGCATGGAAGCAGCTCTCTGTCACAGCTGGATACTGAAGGACTGTGTAAGTGAGTGCAGGTAAGGAGAAGGGAATAATTATCTCGTAAGAGCTGTTATGGATCCAGTAAAGATTACACACGGGGCAAGCTACCAACTCTTGCACTCTGATTTCCAGCGCTGGGCCAGATTTCAAAGGACAGTAAGGTTATTTAACTACTTCTATTTCAATTCAACAGAGTTTGATCCAAGACCCAGGTAAGTCCCACTTTATTTTAATACCCACCAAGAGTGAGAGAAACAGGCTTAAAGCAAAGATCGAAAGGTTCAAGGTGCAACTGCCAGTTCCAGACCTCCAGCAACACAAGAAAGAAGGCAAAAGCCATGGAAGAAAATATGATGAAAAGGGCAGGACCGTGCTGCAAAATGCTTTATGTGTGAATGAGAAAGCTGCAAAAAATAAAAACTGTTTGTGATGCATCATCTTGACACCAGAGAAACAGAGCTTGCTTCTGCTCTGCTAAAAAACCCAAAGCTGTTGCGAAAATGTTTTGGCAAAGATGCCTAAGAAGGCTTGGGGAGGGAAAAAAAAGACTCCATAAGTGAACATTATACTCACATTAAACTCAAAAATGAAAACTGTCCTACCTGGGAGACTTGAAACTTCACTGAGTGACTTCTTGCAAGTATATGGAAGTTGAGTCCCACAATGGTAACTCTGCCACTGACCTGAAGCAGCATTCATTACCACACAACTTGTCCCATCTAGTGGGGACAAACTCTGCATATCTATAGACAAGAACAAATAAAAACAGAACAGCACAAGTTATCAAACAGTAAGGCAGTAACTGCTTCATTTTACTACTGCTTTTCAATACAAGAATAACACACTTCACAGCAACTTGAATTTGAAGAAAACTTGCATCAAATGAAAACACCTGTCCTACCACAGGTCCTGCTGAAAGTTTTTTCTAAGAAAGTTTCAGAATCAAGGAATCTGGACTTCTTTTCCAATGTTTAATCATAGAACCAGGAGGAATGTTCTAGTTACAATACAACAAACCCTTGGCTGAGCACTTTCCCAGACTAGAAATATCTCAGGGGAGAACTGTTTTTGCAACCCTCAGTTTCCTTTGGCAGTTCCTTTGGCAGTCCCTTCCCACCCTCACTCCAAACACAGCTCCGCACTTTCTCTCATCGCTAATCGTAACCCTTACCTTAACAGAAATTTTAGGCAAGGCCCCAAATTAGAAATATCCCAGAAAATAACTTCTCTTTTTTGCAGTCTCCACCTTCCCTTGGAGCCCCTTTCCTAAAATAACTTTTTGGCTGTGACCTACAGAGAGCACCCAAGCTCTCCCTGTACTGGGTATGGTAAAGTATTTTCACGAGAGCAGTAAGTACGTATGCTATGACTGCAGACTAAATCGTGCCACTGTAGCTCAGGATAGTCTTGCCTCTAGCTCTGCATTACAGTTCTACAGTGTGATCACAGTTCCAGAAGAAGGTGCAGCCAGTAGTACAAGCAGCAAAGTTCTTAACCTTTCCAAAAGACAGACCACATTTGGAAAATCTCACAGAAATTACTTAGTAAAGCTTTCAAAGAAGTAACAGAAACCACTTATCAACTTTTCACAGAACTCCTGCTGCAGTACTATTCTAGATAGCAAAGGGAAAAAAAGAGAAAATCACTTTAAAAAGTTCAAATTCAGCTTGAGTGACAGAACAGTATTATCTTCAGTATTCCCAACGATTATTTCTCCAGGATTCTCATATATATCCATGATGTATTTGTGCGAATATTACAAATTCTTTCTGAAAATTCCTAACAAACAAGAGTCTCACCAACCTTACTAGGATCTTTGGAGTAATTAAAAAAGGTTTTTCAAAGGTTTTATATTCCTTTCATCTTCACCTCGAAACAAATTTAAGTAATCTTGAAGTTTAAAAACAGAAGTTAAGCTTCTAAGTAATGTCAGTCCTTGCACATACACCAAGAGTCATAATATTTGAGAAAAGTCAATGCCATTCTGTCAGTGGAAGGAGAAATTTAGCAGCCAGGAAAGCTGTGGATTCTTTACTAAAAGGGACTTCAAAAACTATTTAAGTTTTACATTTTTAGAGATTTATTAACCTAATTAGCCACAAATATAGAATGCGAATGGAAAGATTCACTGGCTCGGAGGAAAAGATGTTTCTGAAAATGGAATGAGAAGGGAAAAAAAAACCTGTAAAATACTAGTTACTGCTGTGAATATTGTTAATACCACCAGAAATATCAGTACCTGGATGCCAGTTGACAAAATTCAAAGGTTTGTGATCTGACCACTGCCAACCTCCAGAAACGTCCAGTTGATTTAAACCAATCCAGAAGATCTCAGCGATGTCATCCTTGGCTGGAGATTTTTTTTTTTTAAAGAAAACCATTAGTATAAAATGCTCATCTTTTATTGGTCTCTTTGAAATTAAAAATGTGATCTGAAATAGTAGGCATTTAAGGAAAGAAAGACTGCTACTGTAATCAGACGTGCAAACTTTCTGGAACTGATGAGAAACTTATCCACATAAGCCTTCCCTGCCAATGCCTTCCGATGTTTTTCCTTTGGTTTTACAGTTCCAGAGGCACACGGATAATTCCTCCAGACCAAGACTGAACATCAGTGAGGACAATTTCATAACAAGTGAGTAACATGCTGCTAAAACACCAACTGTCATTCTGGTCTGCATTTGAGATTGTGGGGACATTCCTAATTACAAATATGAACAACTAAGCGCTACAAGGAAATCATACACATAAATTTTAAAAACACTGTAAAGTGAGATCACCTTAGTTTTGCTACACAAATGAAAATCAAAACATTTTAAGTACAATGAAGTTTTAACCTAGAATTTTAGGATAGAAATTAAAATGCTGAGTCCACTTTATGTTAATTTATCCAGATATCCTAATATTCATATGTGAATAATTACACCTACCTTGTATGTAACTTAATTCAGATGCATCTTGGATGCTAAGTAAATCTCCTCCTTGCCTTTGACATGAAATATAAGCTTCCTTCCAAGAAAGAGCAGACTGTGTATTAAACTGATAGCAATTTTTAGACCCTGGATCCTGTTCCCAGATATCATGACAGCCATCCTCTGTTTAAAGGAAGCAGAAGGTACTTGTAACTACAACTATATGGAAACATTATGAACGTTTCAAAAGAAAAACTTTTGAATATTGAAGGTCTATTGATTTTTATATCAGTCATCAAAAATACTGCAGAGTAAATCAATGCTGCAATAGAAAAGCTTTTATCCAGCTTAACAGCAACATGGTGGAGCCCCACATGTGTGAGGTAACAGAATGCTTTTAGGATGTTCATTTAGAAACCCAACATGCCTGGTTGTAAGCAGATTCCCCACTTTCCGTCACGAGTGTAATCTTCAGATGTGGCGCACCATTTCCCACCCATATGGGTTTCATCCTGAATGCAGTCATGATGCCATGTTTTATTATACAGAAAGGGGAACTCGCAGGGTTTTCCATATGAGTTGCCATCTTTGGTATAAACCTCTGCAGGAAAAAAAAGAAAAAAAAAAAAGTAAATATAAGTTGCCTAGGGATGGAAATGGCAGCAAAATGTTTCTGCTTGTACAGACACAGTTAACTTAAAACCATGCAAATCACACTTGTGGTCTTAAAATACTGTATCTTGTTATTACAGATAATATAAAGCAATGCCAGAACTGAAACAAATTATGCAAAAATATTTTTCTGTACTTTTTCTTCTGCGAAACAGCAAAAAATTGTTTCCCCCATCCTGGTAAGTTAGGAATAAATTCACTGTCCTACTGAAATCTTGGTGGTTTGCACAGAGTCCTTCAGAACAAGGCTCTAGGAATCAACACACACAGGAAGGGGAAAACTTATCAAATTGGAGCCTACTGGGCTCTTCAGACTGGCCACTTTGAACAATCCAAATACAAAGAAAATTCTGCCTTTAAATACGGTAAAGCAAGCTTTCACCACTTCTTCCAGTAAGCATGAGATTTACGATGAGACTGGCTTCCATGGCAAGTGGACAGACTATCACACCAAAGTGAATGGATTGCTCCCAACAGTCCAGCAGGCTGTGAGCTAGCAGCATGTTCTGGACTTGACTGTACAGCTACCAGCAAAGCAAATATACTCAAACCCTCCTAACAGCAAAATTCCTATTGTGGTGAAGAAGAAAGTGGCAGTTCTGATATAAGGTGTATGATATTTAATAATTAAATATGTTTGCACTCAAATATGGGGGGAGGGATTTAAACCTGCAAAGAAAGCCACTCGATAACACAACTTCTGCAGTTGTGCATGGTTACTTTTATTAAAGACCACTGAAGTTTCATATTTCGATATCAGTGTCTCTCTACAGCCAAACATTCTATTGCTTTACTGATCAGTCTTTTCACACAATTAATTTCAATAACTTATCAGCACAGATATACTCAAAAAGCCCTTAACAAATAAAAAAATCTCCAAACCTCTGTAAAAACTTACTTACCGTGGTAAGGGTACCGACATATATCACTGGAAGAACTGTTGCTTCTCCACTGGTCTGTTGCATTTATGCTTGCAGTCACATAGGTATTCTTGATAGTCACTTTGTACTGAGATGCACCAATGATGGAAGCATCAGCACATCGCCACCACAGCATTAATTCTGAGTTACAATCAACCATTTTCAGGCGAGACACTGATTTCGTGAATATATCAAGTCCCAGGCACTGCTTGGACCCCAAGTGAAAGAGGCGATTCTGGGATACCCATTTCCATAAAGCTTCACTTGTCTCCCTGCAGTCATCTATCACTATCCATGAGTTTTTAACTTGTATGCACTTGTTCTCTTTGTCATGGCGAATGGTAAAAGCATCATTGCCTGTATAAGAACAAAAAAATATCCACATATGGCTATGATTCAGCATCATTTTCACAGGGAGCTAATTTTCAAAAGGGTAATCACATTCTGAGAGATGCTACCAGAAAAGTACAGCAACTACGGTTCGTACATTAAACTACCTCTTCCGTGTAAGCCCCATTCAGTACATTTTACTCTTCAGTGAGTACTCTACTTCCAGGGGAAAACAGCTCTTTCAAAGTCTTTATAAGAGGAGAGACAAAATGAGACTTCTAAGTTTAATTTTATTGATGAGAATTCTTCCTTTTTATTTAAGATATACTGATTGGATCAACTTCTGATTATTTTGCAAGCTTAATGGGTAAAGAATCTGGTCTTCATGCCTATCTGCAAGTGCAGTTACACGTTGCAGACACCAAAAAGTATAGTAATAATCTTCACTTAATAAGTACTTTTTTTTTTAACTTTTTAACTTTTTTAACTTTTTAACTTTTTTTTTTTGACAGGTTAACATGTGAACCAGTTTGTAGTGCAACTGCAGTATTACTACAAAAACTGGCACTGCTTCGAGGAGAGGGTTTTAGAAAGATTATCCTACCAAAGATTAGGAGTCTCAGTTTAAAAATCATATAGGCACCCTAGTTTCATTTTCAGTTGTGATGAGTTTCATTTTCAGTTATGACGCAGTCATAAGAAAAAAAATAAGGCAAAGTATACAACTTAAAAAAATATATGGATCATCCTCCTCTTACAAGCTAACACATCTGCCAGTATAATAACACTTCTGACAAGTGGCAGTAGGTTTAAGCTAACCATGAAAAAAATGACCTAAAGTTATTTCTACGCTACAATAAAGATGGTTTCACAGTGCGAAACTTTTCACTGATCAGGCTGATATGGACCTTGGCTGTCCCAGACCCACAAAGCTATTTCTCTGCTGCTTAAATAAGGAATCTGCTGAGTAGTGTTTTGTATTTAATAGCAATGCACTGTCAATCACATTCCTACTGCGTTTTTCTATTATGAGTTAATAATAGGTTTGGCTGAACAGCAAGGAAAATATTCAGTGATGTTATGCAGTGAATTTTACCACTACTTCCCAGTATACTCATGAATTTTCCCCTGTGTAAGTGCCAAATAGTATCTAAATAGTACTGAGCTAGTCACACTCTAAAGAATAATCTCTAAGTCAGACACCTACTGCAGTGACTTTTTCTAAATAGCACATTTCAAACAACTGTCCCTGTCAGCCTATTAACTAAGACATTTTAACAACCAAACCCACTTTTGTGGTATCTTTCAAGTCTAGGCTTTTTGCTATATCTGCTTTTTGCATTCTATTCTCCCCTCCTGACTTTTTTCCTTTTTCTGATTTCTTGTGAGAAGCGGCTGAAGACACGTTACATCTTCTTTCACTTCTTCTCCCACAACCCTCATGCTGATGTCAAGTACAAAATAACTTTTTAAAACTTCCACAGAAAAACTGCTGGTGGTGTCTCAGCAGATCTCTCTGTACAGCAATTTCTGAATACTCAATTAGTCCAGTTCAACACTCCTGGTCATGAAGTTTTACTTGACGTCTTCAGCTACAAACCCTACCCTGTTACTGTCATTAGGATATAGAAAATACGTCAGCTGCAACTACTTAGTGAGGAGCTCAATTTGTTTCCCAGCAGCTCTCACCAAGCTATGGCTTTGGCTTACAAGAATTTGATCAACGTGAAACTCTTCCACCTGCTTTCTGTGGGACAGGGGAAGCCTCCCTCCTGTCTCTCCCTGAGCACAAAGCGGCGGGACGCCCTGCCTAGGACCGGCCCGGGTCCGGGTTATTCCTCTCCCCGAGGTGTTCGGCCAAAGGCCGCGGCCCGGCCCGGGGCGGCCCCGGCCCCCCGGGCACCTTCGGGAACGTGGCAGCCGAGGCCGGTGGAGCAGCGCCGGCTTTCGCGTGGCCACGGGCGAAGCGCATGGTCCGTGAGGGAAATTCGGGGGCTTTCCCTGCCTTTTTCCCTATACCAAATAAGTTTCCCCAGGTTGTTTCCACTCAGTTGGACGTTGCCGCCCGGCGGACCGGCCGAAGCGGAAGGCCCGTCCCAGCGCCGCCTCGCCCGCTCTGCCGCCCGCCGGGGCGGAGAAGGTCCCGCCGCGCCCCGCCGCGCCCCCGCGCACCGCCTCCCCCTCGCACGGCGGGCGCCCGGCTCACCTGCGGGGTCCCCCCTGGCCGCGCAGCAGAGCAGGAGCAGGGCGAGGCCGCAGAAGGGCAGGCAGAGCCCCGCCGCCCGCGCCATGGTCCCCCCGCGGCGCGCAGGCTGCGCGGAGCGGCCGCGCTGCCGGGCTCGCTCTGCCCGAGCGGCGCGCCCCGGCCCCGCCAGCGCCGCCCCATTGGCCGCCCCGCCGCGCGTCACTTGTTGCCAGGAGAAAAGTGGCCCCGAGGTTGGGGCGAGGCGGGGCTCGGCCCCGGCGGGAGCGGGGCTGCGGGTGGGGCAAGTCAAGCGCAGGGGAGGGAAAGAGGAATCGCAAGTGAAAACATAGGGGTAAAGGTGAAGGGGAACTGCGGAGAAGGAGAGGGAAAAAAAAAAGGAGAAAGAAAGAAAGAAAAGAAAAAAGAAGAAAAGAAAGAAAAAGAGAAGAAAGAAAAGAAAGAAAGAGGAAGAAAGAGAAAAGCAGACTGAATTGTCATGAGCTAAAACTTAAAAACAAACAAACAAACAAACAACTTTTTAGAAGTTCAGTTGGGGAGAAAGAAGGTAAAGTGTGAGTGTTAGAAGTGTGGAAAAGGAAAAAAAGTGAAGAGAATATTCCAAAATTAACAAACACACCACAGTAAAGTATCTAAAATTGTACAAATAATACATTTTTATAGCATCACACTGTGATCCTCAAACCCCTCTGGCTGAGGAGCCATGAGCTGTCAGGCCTGGTGTGATCACCATGATGCCCTCTGCTGAATTTCCATAGGGAAATTTTAGCAGCTAAAATTGCAACTTTCTCACCTGTCCCTGCTAAGGGAGATGGATGGAAGGGATGAGACTGTGCGCAGTTGAAATAATTGTCACTGACAAAATTTTGGTACTTGCAATAGGAAGTTACAGAAACCAAAAGTAAAAACACAAAGATGCCAAGAACCAGTTGGCCTGAAGGAGGAAAAGAGAATGAAGGGAAACTGATAGAAACTATGTAAAATAAAATGTCTGTATTATAGCTGCATGCTAAGTGATTTGGTGCTAAGTGATTTTGGTGATTTGGCTGTATAGCTCGAGCCCCAGCTGTTTAAAAAAGCATTTGCTAGGAAAACCTATTTTGATTAGACTTGGAGAAGCAATTGTTCAGGGAAGGAAATACTAGGTTTTCATAAAGATGGGAAATGTAATATGCAGTCTATTTTATGTTTTCAAATGTGCCCATCATGTAGGAATCCGGACATCTGGGGACACAGGATTTGAGGGTATTCCAGACTGGGAACTGAGTAGAAAGACAGTGAAGAAAACCAGGCACTTGCAAGTTAGCGAATGGAAGTTGCTCCTGCTAGAAACAACAGAGCAACACCTGGCTGCCAAGGCAGGAGGTATTTGGAAAATTGGAAATCAGGTATAGGAGGAAAGGAGTCCATAGATGCAGTAAAATTCAAGCTGTGCTACCAGAAATAGTTCATTTTTGGTAAGAACAAAGCTTTAAAGTCTCCACATAGAGTGTGAGGCAGAAATTTCCCACTGGTTAGCTCATACAAAAGCAAGCTATTGAAACTAAAATTAAAAACATGGTGGGATGATGTGGGTTTTTTTTAAATAAAGCATCATAACAAGAAGCAGGTGTGAAACCTGCATTCCCATGAACCTTTCCAAATGCACGTTATTATCAATGTAATAACTGACTGTCCTAGTTTGGGTATGGTGAGTAGCAGATTTTAACTTTTAAACTAATAGGATGCAGGGCATATTTACTGAACCAGCACTTGTGAAATTAAAAGCATCCTACTTACCAAACGTGTCAGAAAATATGTGTATTAATAGAGGGGAGGTTCTCTTAAGGTGTAATAACATATGTAACATAAGTTCTCTGATATGTGCTTTGAATCTGAGATCCTTTTTTGTTTATTGGTTTATAAAATACCATGCTTGATAATACACAATCAGACTCTGATCATGACTCAAAAATTAAATAATACCCAAGGATAGGAAAAATGGCTGTTTGCATTGCTGCCTCTTGGTTTCAGTTCTGTGTGCATGTACTTGAATTCTGTCAAACATAAATGTAAGAGGATAAACATAACGTACAGCCCTGGTGAGCCCACCAGCCAATCAAAATTTTGGAAAGAACACGCAGGAAAAAATGAAAGTCAGTGGATGTCAAGTGATAGCCCATGGAATTGTAATACAATTTTCTGTTATTGAAAAAGTTGCTTTGTACTAAAGCTTATCAAAATTATAACAATGCCAAAGCCTACTTCTTAAAAGATTTATCCTAGCTTTATCAATGAGGCTTCTGAATTTAATGTGAGCTTCACAGCAGCATTACTCACAGCATAATTGGTGAGCAATTTTTGTATTGCAAGTCAAAAACATGATCATATCCTCATGAATACTTAAAACTCACTTCAAAGCAGAGCTAATGGCCAACCAAATTTCAACCATACCTGCAGAGATAACAAAATACAGAATTTCACATACAAGAGAGCCCCAACCACAGAATTGACAGTAATATACAGCAGCCAAGCAGACTACTTTGCTTTTCCAGTCAAAAAGCTTTTTGAGGTGCCAGCATCATGACTAAGAGCCTTGTATTTCTAGCAGGAGTCTTTGTTGCTTATCAACAGATAATTTATTTGCCTTTATGCCCATATGTTTGTAACAATAGCATTACCTGAAGAAAGTGTCAACACTTGTCTATCCATAAATCTCCACCCCATCTCTCTTCTGCTCACCACATGAAATAGCCACTTTGCATAAGCAACCTTCCTCCTTCTTTTACAATCAACACATGGTAATCCAGTTTTACTGGCTAAGTTGAGTGAATCTACATGTGCCAGTGAGCACAAAGGGAATGCTGGAAAAGCAAAAAGTTGTTACCTCCAGCATCTACCAAGAGTGGGAAGAGATTCTGGAGATGGCAACTTCTGCTTTACTCTGCTTCCCCCAGCAGTGACTTTGAAATTGGGACATCTGAACAGGAAACAGTAATTATCTATTACTTTTTTCACTTTGCAACATTGGTGCTTACAATACCTAAGTCCTTACAGAGAAAATAATAAAAACAAACCAAACCCAACAGCAAAATGACAGCTTACAAGAGTTACAGGAGCAGAGTTATTTCCTGAGGCAGAGAACTCTCTCTGAGAAAATAATGATGCCCACAAAGCAGCCAGCAGCCAAAGATTTAAGTGCTACCTGGACTACCATAAGTCTGTAAGTGCTACCATAACCACAGCTAAAAGCCAAATGATTCTTTTTTGACAGATACACAAGTTTACTCTGATTGAGTTATTCCCATACATGGCCATGAAAAATGTCACTAAAATTCAAAGGGGAGGTGACAAGCATCCAGCAACTGATTTGGATAGAGGCTCTATCCAAAGAGGTCTTTAAGCAGTAACTTCAACTTAGTTTTGCATTAACTCCACCTGTACAGTCTTTTCTTCATGGACACTTACTTTATTTGTTGGCTTGCTTTTTTAAGAACTGTTGAGATCTTAATTAATTTTCAACATTAAAGAATGTTTTGTTTTAGCAAAAAGGGAACACAAAAATGTTTTTTTCTCTGTTGTTGCTCTAGATTTCCTCTTTCAGTGGCAGCGCCCTACCTTTTCAGCACGTTATGAAACTGTTGTATTGCACAGTAAACTTAAGATGCAATCACATGATCTCTCAGCTGAGTTTTTATGTATTTCTTACATCTCTTCTACAGTATCTATATGAATCTTTGGCACGAGTTCCAAGGTTTTGAGGGTTTTATTGCATTTGAAGGGTTTATTATTGCTAGGGACCCTTACATTTGATATGTCACCATTCATAATAAATAAGCTAGATGTTATTATAGCATTTGAGAGACTGTTCTGTTTCTTTCACTGCCCCAAACATGATAGGTAACTTTCAGAAATAATAAAAGGACCTTTATTCTTATACTAACCTCCTTTTTTACTCAAATGTGACAGTGGCAACTTGGGTAGTGCTGCCTCTGGTTCTGCCCTGATGCATATTCAAACTTAGATTAGACAAGGCCCGCTGAAATACTAGAAACGACTGTCAGAAATAAGACAAAGAAAGGAGTGTGAGCACACCCACATTGTATCTTTATTGATAGCGGGGAACATCTTTCTCTGGATATTGGTTTGGCTTTGACTCCTGCCAGGATCTCTGTGTGCTCCTGAAACAATGACAAAATAATATAAGCAATACTTTAACATTGAGAGAATTGCTTAAAATTTAAAGTAGTAAATGATACTCTTTTACAGCACTTTAAAAAGGGGTCTCTGACACCTGTACCATGCAATTTTAACAGAAATTGTGCTTCAGTTTAGTTGCTCTACTGGCAGAATTAATATGCTCAATCTCTTCAAAAGCTGTTCCCTGTTGTCACTGTGCCAGTGTGGGATTATTACTCAAATTATGATTGTGGAAGCTGGAAACTCAGATGATATTTTGTACCTCATTACATTTGTTGCCAAAAAATGCTTTAAAGGGTTGGTTTAAAAGAAAATCAGTTTTAATTTGGAAAACATTTTTTAAGAAAACACAAAATAATTCAGAAGGAAGAGCTTCCAATTTTAAATTTAAAAGCTTTTTTACTTTTTTGAGACATACAAAGCAGAACAATTCCCTAAAAGTGCTGGGGAAGAGCCTATAGTTTTGTGTCTCACTTTTTTTGGAGCTAAAATTCATCCAAGTCCAATGGCACTCTCCAAAATGCCCCCACTACCTTATGTTTGATCAGAAAGGGGCAAACTTTCAATATGCACATGAGAGGATGGTTTAAAGAACAAAATTCCAGATTGATCTGAACTTGGAAGCACTTTTAAGATAAAAAGAGCCCGTATGGAAAGTGTGGACTCACTAGGGGCTAAGCTGCTGGCATTTAAAGGTTGTGATTGATTAAGGTATACACTGGAGAGCAGCAGGTGCGGGGAACACACAGTTCAATATGCCATCAGCAAAGGCTTAGAAATTGTGGCTTTCTGAGTGCAGGAGAAGCCAGAGAGAGGAATGGAAAATAAGAAAAATGCCTTTCCAATGGGAGATGAAGGAGGAAACAAACACTGGAACAACACATACTTCTAATACAAATGCTAAAAATCCAATGAATAAGTGGAGGAAAA